TCTTGTTCCCCCTTCTCGTTTCAATCCAACACATCATCGTGGGCATGGGCATGGCCCGTCCGTAGCTAACTCTGGCATAGTAAACTTAACCTTGTGGAATATTCATCTCGTCTTCTAAGTTACCTGTACGATATTTAACTGCATGGACATGGATTGCATCCAGCACTTCCCTGCTTCTGTCGTTTTCCATCATGTTTTTAACATTCCTCTCCTATTTGCCCTAAACACAAGCCTATACATTCTCTCCTCTCCTCCTCTCTTCTACTTCGGCTCTGCTCCATTGGGTGGAGGAGTGGAGGAGAGCTGGTGAGCCGGCCGGGAAAGGAAGAGAGCACCATCCACATATGTACAAATCCCGACGTGAAACATAAATCAAGAAACATAAGTCAAGACACAGGGCTTGTTTCCAACCTGCTCAGATCTCAAATGGAACCAGATATCTTACATGAAACATCGCGATATGCTTGTCATGCGCACCAGTCATAAGTAAACCGTTCATAGCATGCTGAACATGGTCACCAGAGTATCAACTCGTAAAAATGAAATGCCACAATCATGCCCCGTTGCAACAATAAAAAAGAACCCATATACTTAACAAAATGAAGAAAAGTAGAACGGAACAAAAAAAAAACCATTTTAAAACCCTCCAAACCCAACCCCCCCCATCACACATCAACAACCCGACACGCCCCCGCCTCGCAAATAAGCAAGTAATTCTTTCCAGGCCGTATGTCTCTCAGCAACGCATTCCGCCTCCGCAGCCACTGCGACTTTTCCACGCTAGCATCAACATCACCGCCACCACCAACACGCACATCGATGACTGAAAGAGCAACTGCAGCCGTCGATGCAGCCGTCCCTGCCTCCACGCGCAACTTCTGAATGACCAATTCTCGAGATGAGGGGATTGTTGATGACGGTAATGATGATGATGAAGAAGATGAAGAAGAAGATGATGATGATGGAATTGGCGTTGGTGCAGCAGCAACTTCATCATCATCATCATCATCAACCCCTTCCATCTTCGTGTCCTCTGCGACAGCTTCGCCTTCACCTTGACTCACGACTGAAGAGAGAGAAGCATCACCATCATCCTGACCGACAACTCCCACGATCCCGCGGACACCCATCTCCAGTCCAACGATAGCATCTAGCATGCCCACGAAGAGGAATGGGTGCTGCATGATCTCCACCGCGAAGGCGTTGACGGTTTCGCGGGCGAGGCGTTTGTAGCTTTTGGTGGTGGCGGTGGTGGCATTGTCTTCGTCTACGTCTCCGCCATCGAGGAGGGCAGAGAGACGGAGGAGATTGCGGGCTATCACCCCGTTGGGGGACGGGGTTGCAGCGTCTGTGCCGGGTTTGAGGCGGAGGAGAGGGGGTGGAAGTGTTGGCGTGTTAGGGCTTGTTGGTGTTGAGAAGTCGGAGGATGAGGGTGAGTAGAAGAGGGTTGAGGGGGTGGTGTAATAGCCTAATGAGGGGGGTAGGGTGGCGGTTTGAGTGGTTGCTTGGTCGGGATTTGTGCTCATGCTCGTGCTGGTGCTGGTGTTTGGAGCCACGGCGAGGAAGTGCTTGTTCAGGTATTCTAGTTTTAAAGGGGGCCGTTAGATGATCAATTCGACAAGAGGGGGTGAGAATAAGAGCGTCCTGGGTAACTTACGTTGTAATTGCTCTGCAAACTGTAGATGGCTATCATCAAATGTTGCTTCGTAGAGATTGATGAGTCCAGAAATAAGATATGCATAATCGTCAGCGAAACCCGGTGTATCCCCCCGCACACCACCACGGTATATACGCCAAAGTTGCCCAGTCTGCTCGTCAAACAGGTTGTGTTTGATGAACCTCACTGCTTCCTCCGCGGCCCGTCTGAATTGGTACGCCTTATCCCTATCAAGATTTTCCAGAACAACACTACATTTGGCCAGCGCGCCAATAGCAAGTCCATTCCACGCGACGATAATCTTATCATCCAAGTCCGGACGGACCCGTTTGCTTTCTCGGTATTCACGCAGTTTCTCGCGGGATCCCTTGATGATGCGAACAACCTCATCCTCGCCCAATCCGAATTCCTTCGCAAGTTTGCTGGGAGTAACCTGGATACTAAGCACGTTTTGATTTATGAATTCATCATGCGGATCATTTATTCGCGAGACGTTGCCATCTGCTAGGACACCCCAATGGCGAGCGCAGACGTCCGCATCCCGTTGACCGAGAATCTGCTTCAGCTCTTTAAGTGTCCATACGTAAAAGGCCCCCTCCCTTTTCTCCGTGTCGTTGGGGCTGGGCCGACTGTCAGCGTCTTCCGATGAGTGAAAGCCGCCCGTTGGTGACAACATCGGAGGACTGGTAATATACGTTGCGATGTCATACATGGCGCCCAACAGCTCCGGGTCGTATGCAGAGTCGAATGCATCCACATATACATCCAGCAGCTGGGCTTGGTCGTAAAGCATTTTCTCAAAATGAGGCAAACTCCAGTCTGCTGTGACGCTATACCGCGCAAACCCATGGCCGATCTGGTCGTGGATGCCGCCCCGCGACATGGCGATAAGCGTTTTGACAGCTATTTCTATTGCGCGACTACATTCCTCATATCCTACTATGTCAGCTACGGCACCAGGGTACCGGCTAAGGTGGACCAGGAAGCTCAAGTTAACGGGAGTCGGAAATTTTGGCGCCTCTGAAAACCCCCCATTCACCGCGTCATAACGTGAAGCAAAATGCTGATATGCCTCTTCCAACAGTTCGATTTCTAAGTCCTCCTCTGCTTCGACATCTGATTGTTTCGAATGGGTGCCTTCTTCGGCAAATTCCCGAAGCTGCTTCGTAATATCCTTTGCGCTCTCGCGACATCTCAATTGCTGCGTGTGCCATACATCTCTTAACTTTTCCAAAATGTCGACAAAGGTAATTTGACCCTCTCCTCCAAGTGTTGGGAGTGCATTAGAATGTGGGCCAGGCCAGTACGAGCCCCCAAACACAGGTTCCAGATCAGGCGTGAGGAAGACGTTCAAAGGCCACCCACCAGAGCCTGTTGTTGCTTGTACATAATTCATATACACCTCATCAATATCTGGCCTCTCTTCTCGGTCTAGTTTTATAGGGATAAACGATTTGTTCAATATCGCTGCAATCTCGGGGGACATGAAAGACTCCTTTTCCATAACATGACACCCTATAAATACAGTTTAGTTGTGTCCACGTAGCTAGCCGGGCATTAGAATAATTTAAAAAAAAAATAATGGTTACACACAGTGACATGCAGAATATCCAATACTTAAAAAAATGAGCCGGTTGAGCTTCTTGGCTAGGGCAATTGCTTCCGAATCCCACAATTGCCAGGCAACTGGGTTATTCATGTGGCCAAGTACCTAGAACAGGGGCATGTTATCAGTACTGGATCAGAGCGCTTAGGATCTTATTTGCCAGAGGTGAATGATATTTACATATGGTGATTTGCTCTGATAAAGGCGATTGACGAGCTCTGGGCCTGTCGATGCAGCTCCCCTCTCCGTCTGTGATGAATGCCTCTCCGATAATGAAGCCATGTCGACCGAGCCAAGTGCCCCACAGTCACATTCAAAGGAGAGTGTTCCAATCTCACAAAGTCAAGTGCTAACGGATCGCAGGTATACTGTCGGTCATGGACAATACTTCCGTCCCGAGATATAGGTACTTTTGATCTAGGACTCTCGTTAGTTGTTTAATTGCTGAAGCCATGGGGAACCTGGAGAAACAAGGCGCGGAAAGAGAGGGGATCAAACAAAGGTTCTATAACTATCTTTACTTTACTGTTCATAACAGTGCCACCAAAGAGGGCGAATTGGGCTGGGGGGTGTTGTAGGTACGCAATACTCCAATCCTAAGTACATCAGTGCGACCGAGATGAGGGAAGATAAACCATGGAGAGTGACGGGTGCTGACATCATGTGTCACGTGCTATTTAGGGCAACCCAAGCTGCCATGTGGGAACCAAGCGGGACTCTGGCCCCCAAGGATGGAAAGTTAGTTAACTAGTTATTCCAATTACGGAGCTAGTTAGATAATTTACAAAAGTTAAATGGAAATAGGTTCTTCTAGCGCCTTGCAGACCCTATTGTTACAACTGGGGTTTCTCTATTTACTCATCAATGGCAATTGAGGAAGGAAAAGGGAAAAAAATAAAAGTGGTCAGCCCACCCAACTACTAACAGGCCGGTTAGTGGCTTGAACGCGCTCGATACCTCGGTGGGTGCGTGCGGCTTAGCGCTGCAGATGCCATCACCAACCAAATCTACATACCCGAGACTGGGACCGATGTTTGTTAGGGCGCTCGAGCCTACTCTGCTGTGCCACTCGCCCCCTTCTAAGTCTCGCAGAGGCCGCACTGTGTTAGGCGGTGTCGAGATATCAACCAATGAACCTCCCGCCAAGGCTGGAGCCTAGTCGAACTGCTGAATGTAATCAAGCAAACAACCATAAAATTGATTACGATGCTAGAATCTGAGTCGATATCACCAGCAGTTCAGGCACCAAGTCTTCCTGGGCATAGAGAGGAGTTTCTGTGAACGTGAGGATCGTTCTAAGCTCAGCATGAGTCTCTCTCCTGATTGATGAGTTTTTTTTTTTTTTAATATGCCACTAGAGATGGAGCAAAAAGTATTGAATGCCATTCTCTATATCAGACCAGTGTTGCGGCGCTTATTCCTACCGTGTCTTATAAGCATAAATAGACCCAGGCTCCAGGCAAGAGATGTTGACTTCTACCACTTCATTTGACTATCTTACTCAATAATCCTTCACAACAGCATTCTCCTTGAATTGTGTCTTTTACAGTCTAGCCACCATGTACCAGAGCCTGCCAAGCCATCAAGAATATCACTACCTCTACTGGGAAAACAAATCGCCGTCACATATGTCACGAAGACTGACACTTGGGAGCGCGCCTTTCTTTCCCAGAGCATCCAAAATGAGTTGCTGGAAAGTTCAAAGACACTCTGAAGCCTGAGACCATCAGAGTGGCCATGAAGTAAGTCCTGTGTAACCATCTGTTGTCTCTTCGCTTACACCTTATCTAGGGAGGCTGAGCATCTGAGCCAAAACAATCCCGTGAGGCATTTCACCGCCTTCGAGCTCGACAAGGATGAAAATGTTGTTGCAACAAAGCACTACTATAAGTGAAGAACAGCAACAGCGCTGGGAATTGTTCATGGCATATTGGATGGTCTTGGGATCGCTAGAAATATAAAAATTGCAAATATGATTTAAGTGGATACGTCAAGTTCAGATGAAAAATTTCACAGTAACACCAAGTATCTGATATTTTGAACCACGAGAATTATTGAAAGTCACGTGACGATGATGGATAAGTCTAAAAAAGGGGAGAAAACGCAACAATCCTGCAAGCCAACCAATCCGCTCTAACTCCAATATAAACAGTCAACATCATACACATCGCCTACGTATCAACTTTGCTCAATATGTTCTTTGTCAAAAAAAAAAAAAAAAAAAAAAAAAAAAAAAAAAACTTAGTCTCACAAATTTTGGGGTGAATATGGCACCTCCATCCAGTGAAATTGGTCGGTGCTGCTGGATGTCGCTATCTCTTCAAACAACTGATTCAGGAAAAGACCACATCTTGATCGCGTTTGGTTGGCAACGTGCGAGCATACCCACCCCATCAGGTAGTGTAGCTTGGTGAACTGACAGCGCTCCAGGTCTGGACAAGACAAATTCATTTTGAAGGACATCCCCAAGACCATTTTCTCAAACTTTAATGAGGACATACGCCCGCGGCTTCGTGAAAGCCCATTTCTACGGTTACCACATGACACAATACCGGATCAGCGGATATTCGTGTACAAGTACATGGATGATGACTTCCTGAGCCTTGTTCAAAAGCAAATATCCATGCAAGCCAGGAAGCAGATTTTAAAAGCCAGTTTGCAAGGGATTGCCGAGCTTCACAGCCATGATAATGTCCATTTAGGTGAAGTAAGCACTCTTCAGTCTCATAGTGTAAGACTAATTTGGTTCCAGATATCAAACCCGACAATATCATGATCAATTACCGTGATACTGGTAAAGAGACAATTGTGGAGCAGGTTCAGGTCATCGATCTCGAAAACGCAGCTTATCTCCCTAAAGGGAGGTGCATCAAAGGGATGTTAGCCGGCAATGATAGCTGGCGTAGCCCAGAGGGCCACTTTAAAGGCGAGTTTAGCAAGCCTTCTGACATCATCTCCTTCGCAGCCGTGGTACGTTGCACTTCTTGTGATTAGACTCTTATCTAGCTAACTGACTCAGTGCATCTATGCTATGCTCGGACAAGTCATCCTTGGAGCCGATGAGGATTTGCAGAAACATGAATCGCAGGGCGCATTCCCTCATGTCATTCTCCTGCAACGTCAGGTTTCTTTTTTTGGGGACCGAGAAGGATTGAACGGGCTCATGAAACACGTTGGTGACGAGGAGGTCAACCGCCAGGTCCTTGGATTTCTCTGGGATGATCGGGTGGCAGACTATCATTCCTACAAGCCATTTTCAGATTGGCCGAATGTCAATGACGACAAGTTCAAGGATGTTATCCATCGGATGACAAAACTTGGATCCTCAAAAACCGGCAACAGCGCGCGAAATGTTGGAGCACCCCTGGTTTGCTGGTGGTGATCTTTATTAAGTGTCCTGAATATATACCTATGGAGAGCTGTGGGTTGTCCCTGGAAAGATAAGGACACTGCCAATCAAGACTACCCTCACCTGCCCTACCAAGTGCCGTTAATTAACGGCTAGGAGAGACCACCTTATGGTCGATCATGATATCACTTTCATGTACATGGATCAGCATTACGGTCCGGTGCTAGTAGAGTCCAGCTGACATATCAAAGGCTATTCACATCTCTTCTCCGAGTTCCTTTCCTGTTTGCCCTTTTTCTCTTTTGGATTTCTTAACCCCTCTCCAGCTGCGCATGAAGTCCAAATGAACAACTTTTGCCCCAACCTTGTGACTCCTCCTAGGCAATGGGTCAACAATTTTCCGGTTAGCCTTTTTTTTGGGATTGCTTACCTCAGCATGCTCAACCTCTACTCGATATACGAAGTTGCTACACGCGCTGAAACACTGCGCAAAAAAAATGAATAGATTGTCTCGAGATTAAAGCTCTGCCAGATCTGGAGTCCTTGGATGTTCAAGAATAACTGTATGTTTGATTTCGGAGTGCTAAGGCCCTCAAAGTCTATTAGAAGGCTCTTGAAGAGTCCCAACCAATCATGATTGGAATCCTATCACGCCTCGTCTTACTCTTACTTCCTTGGCGACCTACTTACAACGCATTGGGTAAAAGGCTCTGAATAAAGTAGAGGATTTGTTGCATAGAGGGGATTTAGTGATTTTTTGTATCGGGTGAATATTCACGGAACACCCAAACCTTCCAAGCGCATGTCGACTGATTTGTTTTTTTACGTTTCAACATCGAAACTGCCGTCAAAAAAACGTTGCGAAAAGGTGTGTGTGCATGTGACTTGCGCAAAGAGAAGAGCAATAAATTTCTGCTACTCTGTTTCCACTAGTAATGACGTACTCTCCCGAGGTTGGGCAACAATATTTACCATGGGAACAACTGGAAACACTCTTTGTCTTTGCGCAAGTCGTTTTACCACGTTATTGAATGGCCGTTAAATAATACATTCTACTCGACTTCCTACCAGTTCTGCACATCGCGACCGATAACCAGCGGCTTCGACGTGGGTATCCCATCGCCAATGTTAATGGACTTTGTCATGACTCTCCAGCCTCACGTTGCAAATTCATTGATCTCATTACTTGTCTCAAGTCGGTTGCAAAGTTACTGTCCTTGAGAGAGACGGCAAAGGGAAGGAGAAGTTTAGGCAGCTTGTTAGCGTGCCTAATGAGCAGGGACTGGTCGAATCCGGTACTAAACTGTACGTCACCGACGGGAAAGTGAAGGAAGAGTAACGTAGTATAACAACGGCACAACTAGCATTCTTGGTATATAGCTTGATTTGTATTTTAACTCCTCCGTCTAAGCCAAGAGTCAGATTGATAATAGCCCCATCCCTTGTGAGTATCATTGACACACATTCCGTTACACGCATTCCTCCAATCTGCGTATAGGACTTTCAGTGATTGCATCATGTATCTCAGGACCAAATACATTAGCGATGGCCTCATCCGAGATTCCTTTCAAAGTAGCTTCGGAATTAGGTATGATCAGAGTGACATCGTTTAGGACAGCGTGCTGAAATTGATCCGCCTGTTTCACTTTGGCGTTGAACAGAGCCGTCGCAAGCCATTCCACGCTACATTGGCTGATTTCAAGACTCATAAGACAGTCAACCGTTCCTACCCAGATAGGAAAGACCGCTGTCACAGCAGCTTTCAATTCGTTCTGGACTGTAACTCTTCTGATTGCGGGACCCAGGAGGCGATTGATGGTATTTCAGAAAGGGAACGGCGACTCATGATTGATGCAGCCGACGCTAGCACCATCAAGCGCAGGGAAACAAACAGATCAAGCAATCAGGGACTGGCACTGGAAGATAGAGGAGGTGTGAGCAGAGTTGCGTACAACACCCTCCAATATTGACAACAGCAAAGCACACAATGGCAGGGACACTATCAAGACTTGAGATATGTATTCAAGGACCACACCATCGCCTTCAGCTCTCTCTCAAATTTAGCGTCAAGCTGCTTATGTCTCACATCCAGCTTTGTTTCTCCACCCATACTTTCGACCCCCCTCTTTCTCTTCTGGTTCGGTGATGTGTTTCCTAAAGGCGCTCTTTCAGGGCGAAGAATCTCTGCTCTTTCAAAATCAATTACCAGCACATTCTGACCTTCCACACTCCAAAACATATTTCTTGTTTCCGCATCATGGTGTAGTACACCCAGCGCATGAATGGCCTGCAATGCCTCAGATGCAGCAGACACAATTTGAACATCTGCAACATCACATTTTAAGACTTCAGTGCCTGCGTGGGCGAGAAGTAAAAAGTGGGGAATGTCTGTAATTCCGTCGTAGAACATGGGCCGCTTAGACACATCGATTGTGCCAAGACATACAGGGATATGCACACCTTGGATTGGCTGCAACTGGTTGTAGAGCGCTTTTTCATGCCTGAGGTAGCGGCCAAACTCCGGAGGAAAACCTTTTCCTACAAGAGTGTACCCGTATTGAAAAAGAGTGACTTCAAACAGTGCACCACGAGCACCGTGTCTATGCAGCGATTCGCAACCCAGAGGCTGGGTCCAAGGATCTACTATTTCTTGTAGTATCTGTGCCATGAGAAGAGAGAGGAAAGTGGGGTGGTCGATCTTATGGACTTCTGTTCCATGCTCTTTGGCATTTGGACAGGCCCTATCCAGCGGGCCACCATTCAAGAGACCTAGCAAGCATTTTTGCGTGCAATATCGCCGAGTTCCATCCTTACAAACCGGGCCCTTGTAGGATGATACACGGTTAGGAGGCGGAGGTATCACAACCATGACATCCGCAGGACGGCGAGGTCTTTGGCTAGGAGAATCAGGGTCAGACTTGCTATCGTCCCCACTGCTCTTCTGCGATAAAGATGTTGGTTTGCAGGTTGACCGGGCGGCCTTCGATCGGGTGCGGACAGGGCTATTCCTGACAAAGATCTGAGCACTTTTCAGTGGCCTGTAAGGTGTTGGAGGCTTCTCGTCCTTTTCCGGCGTTGGCAAATATAAATCTTCCTCTGTAACCACCCACGTATTCAACTGACTCGCGGCCCAGTCTTTCCATTTTTGATCATGAGGGGTAGTCCTTATTGCTCGAAGTGCAAACGCAAGAACCTGCCCAACTGCTGTCATATGTAACCTGTTGTCATCATCTTCGGCCTCTCCAGTAAATCCAGTTTCCTTGCCCACATCTTGCTCGGGGACTGAAAGATAATAATATACCGTCCCTGGTTCATCGGCTTTGAAGTGAAGGAAAATAAATGCTTCGCCAGTGCTCACATACCCGTATTCAACACCGGCTTTGATCATGTAAGAGAACGCCTGGGTGATGACTGCAGCGACCAAACGACGATGCCGAACTTCCTCTGTCTCATCATGATGTCGCTCGACTATCCCAGCAAGCTCCATTTCTTGAAGTCCGTTTTGAATAATTGCCAGTGGGAGCTTGTGTGGTGGCTTGAGTTCACCAATCAAGGCAGGAATTTTGACATTCTCACCTTTATTGTAAATGCAAAACTCATCTGCCAGAGGTCGGGCGGAAGTTGGAGGGTGGGTAGGTGTTGCAGTCCCTCCAGTTCCTTTCCGGAGCTTTGATGGACGCGCCACAACTCCCTCATCCTCCTCACTGTTGGTAAGTGTATTTGCGTGGTTTTCAAAGGTGATTTGTCCCTGAAGCCCAAATAACTGTCGGAGTTGCTCATTCTCAAAGAAGACCTCTATTACCGACCCTACGGGCGCTGTGATGGCATCCCGTTGAAAATAGCGAAGGTCGATTTCTGAGTGAATGTTTTTTCTTGTTTTCTTTCCCATAGCCATAATTGCATGTAAGGAGTCAAATTTGCGCTGCATAATGAAACCCTCATTCTCATCATTCAGCAACGGGGCCCATATTTTCGTCTGTGCATCGGCAAACGGAAGCCATTCGCGGATGCGATGAGGACAAAGTTTACCATCAGCATTGTCAGCATTCCCTTTGGTTGAATGGTCGGGTTTGCCAGGGACAAGACCCCCAAAGAGATAAGTGTGGCAGGCATCAAGATATTCAAAGAGTGTTAAGGGCCGTATTTGTTCTTCTAATGCCCGTTGAGCCTGCTCCGCTTCCCGTTGAGCCTGCTCCGCTTCCCGTTGAGCCTGCTCCGCTTCTTGCCGACGTCGCTTCTCATCCTCCAAAAGCTGGCGCAGCCTCTGAATCTCGTCGTCGGCCATTATACATGGCAGGCAAAGGTATTCAGTGCAATAAGCAATAAGCAAAGTAATAAAGCAGAAGATGTTCGTGAGGTTGTTAACTCAAGAGGGGAAGAACATCAGGTATTAGTAATCACTACACTTGAGCCTCACACATGTCCAGATTCCAACGCTTTTACAGTTTGGAATTGTTTGGCTAGGAAAAATGTTTTTCCAGGTGGCTTACTCTAGACGAAGGAGGATAAAAAAGGGAGAAAAGAAACTCTTGTTCATTCAACTAGACATTAAACTGAATCGCTGCAGCCGGAGGATTCATCCATTGACAGTTCAGTGGTCCATGAAAGTTAGTTAATTTATCACACTCTATTTCAATTCTGGGAATTTACAGAGTCATCCGTGATCTTACAGCGTGATGCCACCATTGAATCTCTATTCCTAAAAGAAGTGGAACTTTCCGGATGTTGTGATATAGATTTCTAAAGCACTTTGCAGCAAAAGTATATCTCTCTTTAAGTAATGGACAAACACAATCGCACCTCCGATCATCCATTTTTGGATCCTAATCCTAGATCATCTGCTCATAGAAACTGTTCCAACAAATCGATGGGTAGAAGCAGTAAAGCTCAAGTTCGTTTACAAATGCACCTGAAGTGCGAGCTCTATTTGCACCTCACGATTCTCCGCTGCTTCTCCGAGCATTCCCAGCCCGGCCCCATTCAAAACCAAATTCCTCGAAAATTAAACGCGCCTCAGATCATTGACCATGCGCCGCTTGTGTTCTGTTCTCCATATAGGGCTTGTGCAGGCGAAGGCCATGCAAAACCATCGAAGGTATCTTTACAGAAGGTAGAACACAGACGGTTGAGTTTTGTCATATGGAATGTACAGTTAAACAAGTGTAATTGAGGGATTGAATCTATCTATCTAAAGGGAGGTAATTCCATCTGCATTGACCCTCAGTTTTGTGTAATGGAGGACGAGCTGTGGGACGGAAGCATTTTGACCCAGAATGGATATAATGTACAATAATTTCATTAGGCAAAGTGGGTTCTAGCGCAAGTTTCGCTACGATAAAGGGGTTCATATGCTTTCGTTATATTAAGATCATCGAACATGAATCACAGACAACTGCTTTGAGTATTGCTATCACTGATTGAGCTACGGTATAAAATCAGCCAAGGCGGATCTTGCGAGTAGAGTGTAAGGTGAGCTAGATAGTTCGGGCAGGAGATGTCAAGCGGACCATCATCTCATAGGCCCAGCAAGCACTGCTGGGAACAGTAAGGGTGGCTTTTGATCTTTGGTGGTTCAGCAGCATGGTCTATCCGATTCACATCGCTGCCTCCGCCGGATTGTCCTTTCTACCCGATTGTCGATCCGGGTTAGAGCGAGCTCGAGCGTTTACGGTTCGTCCACGGCGTGCGGATGGCGACAACGGAGATGGAGACGGAGACATTGAGGGGGAAGTGACAGTAATGCCCAAGAACCGCGGGTCGGATCAAAGGGTTGAAGTGACTGAAATGATGGAAAAGATTGAAAGGTGTGAAGAAGGTCAGGTGGATTTAAGAGATCGGCTCGATGTCATAACCAAGGCAAACTTTGACTCCACACATGTCCAAGAAAACAAGCTGTCACATGATGAAAGATTGCTATGTCAGCAATTTTCCCCACCCGCTAACGTAATCCACAAGCGAGCGGGCCACCCAAGCGAGCGGGCCACCAAATTCAAAATCCTTCTACTTTAACTACTCAACCACTTGAACGCGTGATTATGCCACCAATTCGCAAAAAAAAAGCAAGAGACTCTATAGAGATAGAGGGAAGACTTGAACTCGCGATATCTGCTATTAAAAAGCAAGAAATAACCTCAATTCGTGAAGCTGCACGTCATTTCAATGTGTCACGTACAACTCTAGGTTATCGACTGAGCGGTCGACCTGCACGGGTGAATTTACGCGCAAATTCAATCAAATTGACTGAAGCTGAAGAGAATCTGCTAGTTGAATGGGTGCTAGATCTAGCTAAACGAGGATTACCCCCCCGGCCGGCGTTTGTTGAGAATATGGCTAATCATCTTCTTACCCTTCGCTCTACACCAACCACACCCTCCCACGTTGGCAAGAACTGGGTGTCAAACCTGATTACACGCCGTACGGAGCTTCAATGCCGCTATTCCAGACGCTGTAACCATGAACGAGCAAAATGTGAGGATAGGAAGGTTATTCAGGAGTGGTTTAAGATTCTAGGGGATACAATTGCTGAGCATGGGATCCTGGCTGAGGATATCTACAACTTTGATGAGACTGGATTTGCAATGGGCCTCTGCGCAACAACTAAGGTCATTACCAGTGCTGAGCGCTACGGCCGGGCAAAGCTTCTACAGGCTGGAAATCGTGAATGGGTCACCACGATCGAGTCAGTCAACGCGTCAGGATGGGCCCTACCCCCCTACATTATCCTTAAGGGTCAGAATCTACAGGAAGGCTGGTTCGATGGGCTTCCAGATGGCTGGAGACTTGATGTTAGCTCTAATGGCTGGACCACAGATGAGATAGGAATCAGATGGCTTACTAGGCTGTTTATTCCAGCTGTAAATCCACGCAGGGTTGGCACTCATCTACTTCTTATCCTGGACGGGCACGGCAGCCATCTTACCCCTGAATTTGACCATATCTGCAAGGAGAATAGGATTATTCCATTGTGCATGCCTGCACATTCATCCCATCTCTTGCAGCCTCTAGATGTGAGCGTTTTTGCGGTGTTAAAGCGGGCCTATGGGGGTCTGGTTGAACAGCGAATGCGGCTTGGATTCAACACCATCAAGAAGGGAGACTTCCTAGATGCCTATCCTGCAGCCCGCGCAGAGGCCTTCAAGTCTCAGAATATTCAAAGTGGCTTTATAGCTACTGGAATAACCCCATTTGATCCAGATCAAGTTCTTCAACAACTCAACATTCAGCTCCGAACCCCTACCCCCCCAGCCAGCCAATCTAGCAACTCAGGGTCATCCTGGATCCTACAAACACCTAGCAACCCGCGTCAGTTGCATAGACAGGTGAATAAGGTCAAGAATCTCATGGGGGAGAGGCTTGAGAGCTCACCTCAGGGCTTGGTGGAAGGATTTGACCAAATTATCAAGGCCTGCGAATACGGGATGGTCAGTGCCACCATTATGAAGAAGCAATACCAGGATATATTCAATGCCAATGAGAAAGAGAAGCAAAAACGCAAGAGATCTAATCGCAGAATTACACGCGAAGGAGGCCTAACTAGGGAAGAGGCTCAGAATCTTATTATTCCACCTGTTGAGCCTGCTGAACAGCCCGTCATTCAACCCCCTGATCCTGCTGCTCCAGAGCCAGCACCATGTTCACGGGCGCCACCAACATGTTCAAACTGCCATATTGTAGGGCATACAAGAAGAAGCTGCCCTAGTCCTATTGTACTATAATTTAATTTAATTAGGGGTTGTTGAGTGTGAGTATTTTGGGTTAAAATCTACTTAATTACTATACGGTGATTTTGGTGGCCCGCTCGCTTGGGTGGCCCGCTCGCTTGTGGATTACGTTAACTATTTACCGATATGATATTTTTGCACCGTTCTGGAGCAAATACTGATGTTCATCAAGACGGATAAGCTAGGAGGAGAGCTTTGCACCCCATATCTGGTGCTGTTAAGTTTCTAGAAACTCGAGAGTTTTTCCCGGTGAGACCCGATACGCATTAAGGCTTCATAAGCCAAGGTAGTGTTTATTCTCTTGAAAATACATATATTCAGGCTAACCTAACCATGCCAAACAGATCCATATATGCTACTGCACATTTTTCGACAAGTCATTTTGTTATAATGCCTACATTGACAGAGTGCCATCAAATTTCAGAAGGGGGAAACGAAAAACTCAAGAAGTTACAAGATGCCATTTGACTGGCAAAGCAGTTGTTGAGATGACTGAGACCAATGGGAATGTGAAATATGCGAATGAAAGCCTCAATGATTATGTTGTTCCTCTTTTAAAGGAACTGAAGCTCGGCGTAAGTGAGAATCTTTCTAAACCACACACCAATCGAATGCCCCGCTTCAAACACTTCGGCTACACTGCATGGCGAATTTCCACGCGTATACCCATCGCCAACAAAACCGGCCCTGAATACATTATCCCGATGAACAAAATATCTGGCGACCCGTGTCTGCTTCCCGGTGGGTCCCTAGATCCCGGGACATATATATACCATGACGGAACTGGCGAGCTTCTTCCAACACTGGTGTGTCTCTTTGTCGGTCGTCCACGGTAGGGCTGAGATCGGAAGTATTAACGTCAATATTCATCGGGTATGAGGGCAGTTGGCTTGACACTGGTAATGCTGTGCCAGTAGAATTTGGCAGTCAGCATTGAAATTGGGTAGATCCTCCGTTTGCACATAGCGTGACTGATTGAGATGTGATTGACTGTATATTTACCAAAGTCCCTATTTGCATGTATCCCGTTTTGCATATACATAGAAGGGTCGAAAGGGGGAGTTGGATGCTCCAAAACATCAACATTAGGATCGAAAGAGCCAGCTGGATATTCCACTCCTCCAGCCTGAGAGTTTTAGGCTGGTCCTGCAAGCCAATTCAAAGATTACTTGCAGAAGCCAGGTCATGTCACATCTCCAAGAATAAATCCTACATTACAATTTTCAACCCGTGAGGAAAGCCTGTCCGCCAGACTAAGACTCCGTGGCATCTTGTCAAAGGCACAAGTCGTCGGTCGCTCAAAAGTAACTCCCTGGAAGAGGGGCGGAAGGAAGAAGTTTACAATGACATGTGCAGTTTCTTAAACGCGCAGTCAGCGTATGCGAAAACAGAAAGGCCGTATCGCCGTGGTTAAAACAACCGCGAGAAAATGCGAGCCATACAGCAGGACGGCGCGAGGCAAAACAACCAAGTATCACTCTCCGGCCTCTTGAACGCGATCGAGGGCGTCCCATCATCGGACGGAAGAATCTTGGTCATGACCACAAACTGCCGAGATCAACTTGATGTGGCCCTTATCCGCCCGGGACGCGTGGAAATGGATGTGAAATTTACACTGGCGTCAAAGGAGCAAATAATATCGATTTTCCATCATATGTACGCCCACGAAGGCCGTACCAATCTTGCAGACATGGCTGCTGAGTTCGCCAATCAAGTTCCCGATTGCCAGTATAGCCCGGCGGATATCCAGAACTATCTATGGAAACATAGTGATCCTAATTGTGCTGTTATGGAAGCTCAAAAGCAATTCCCTACGAAGGAGTGAACTTTTGCGTCATTTCCTGCGCGATATTCATTGGTGGTTGGTGGCTTGACTTAGCTAGGAAATGGAACCTGGTGGATGCCACATAGCACATCTGTAGTGAGAAATTATTGAGATGGGCAAACACAGTTTAAATTTCATATGTATATGATATATTGATGCACAGTGATAAAATCCTGTGGCAGTCTATTAGGTCGTTGCTTGGCGGAAATGCTACCAGTGCATGAAAATGACTGGTACCGTACGTAAGCCAATTGATGGGCATGCAAATATTGGTTTAAGTTGGCGAAGAGCAATAGTTACATCAACGGAGGGCGTACTGTGCAAAACCATCGAGTTGGTATACCCGCGATGGTCACAGCAGAGGACATCATCAGCGCTCTAGAAGCAGGCCATTATTTCCAATCTGTTGTTGAAATAACGACGCTGGGGATGCATAACTACCCCACGACGGTGGTCTGTGTCTGAGTGGCACAACTGGGGGCGCCTTGTCGCCAGTATTCCGGTACAATTTTCACTCATTCTTTTCTAACTGATTGGATTATTAGCATTATGTGACCAAATTTGAGTTAACGGAGCCGCTAAGATTATTTTCCTCAGTTCCAAAATCTAGACCCGTTGTTGTTGTCGTCGCTCTCTATGAACAAACGATGTTTCCAGTGTTAAATTCCCCATAGTGTGGTATACATATAGGGGGAAGCCGTCCCCCGAACATGGACAGCATTGAAAGCCATGTTCATTGTCCCTCCCTTTCTTCGGTATGGCCGTCAAACTACCTAGTCGACCTAGGACAGCAGGAGAAATATTACCTTCCACGGACCATTCCCATGTGGTAGAGACGGAGAAAGACGAGGAAGAGGACGAAGAGGAAGAGGAGGAAGAGGCGGAGGCGGGCAGTACCAGTGACTACCACTCTGAATTGGGGGAAGAAGACTTAATTCCTCTCACACCAAGTGTCACCGATTATCTGTAAAGACCCTGTTTCACATCAGAAATGCTTATCCCAGCTAACAATCTCAGAGCTCTGGTAAGGGGAACTCAACAGCAGACATGGCCTACACAAGCTAATTAAGCAGCATGGCCGAACATATCATGCATTTTGTGAAGGGAAATACCATTTGGTGAGCGCTCTCCCTCTACAGTGGAGAATCATGTTTATTAACTTCTTGGTAGCCAAACGATGAGCTGGAGAAAGATAGGATGGACATGGTGAATGATTACACTTGACACTCATTGCATAAAATCTGACCAGGACACAGGTGCACCGGATATATGAACTGGCCTTGGGTGAACTATTTCTCGCTCCCATAAGTGATAACCCTCGGGATATTCTTGATATGGGAACGGGAACAGGTATCTGGGCAATAGAATGTGCTGAGTGCGTAAACCAGAAGCCGGTCCATGGATATTGCTTTGAGGCTGGCTAATCACCACTGCAGCAACTATCCCAGTGCGCTGGTTCGAGGAAATGATTTGAGCCCAATCCAACCTTTCTTGTAAGAAGTTTACCCACTACAGAATATACCCTGGCTTATGATTGATTCCAGTGTTCCATCAAATTGCGTTTTTGAGATTGACGACTTTGAGGAATGGGGATTGCCATATGAATTCGATTTCATGTCTTCACCCAGCACACCCTTACTCGCCCGCACTCACCCGCACTCACCCTCGCGTCGCGCGACCATCACTCTTGAAGCGGCAGCAACTCGGAGGCTCGACATGCGGTTGGGCACGTTGTATAGTGGCTTGAGTAAGGCCGAGCGGACGGGAAGCCCTATATTCCACTATGTTTCGTATGTGATAGGAAGTAATAGAATGAGGATATCTAGGAGGCAAGGATTACCTTGACTGCAAGAGAGACAATATATCGACTTCAAGCCCATATATGTCCATGTGTATATCATCAAATTCATAGCGATCAAGGAGAAAAATTATTCAGAAGATTAGAAACTGAAACGAATCAAATCTACTCTCAGTATTCGTATGTAATATCCTGGTGTGATCGGGAATATCCTTCCCTCAACAAACACAAAAGGTATCTACAATTCCTAATCATCGCCCATCAATTCAGCAAGTTCCCTCTCCTCCTCTTCCGTCAGCAATGACTCGGGGGGATTTTCCACCTCGTTGTCTTCGGTCGAACTTTCTGCCTTTGCTTTGGCCTCCTGGAGCTGGGCTGGGTCCAATGACCACTGCCGTATCGTGGCATCAATACTGATGCTAACAATCGTTGAGTTAATTAACAAAAGGCCAGTAACTTCTTCGAAATGGCCTGAGTATGTATGGTGCAATTTTCCAGTCTTGAGCCGTCAGTCAGTTAAAAACAACTTCGCCATTCTGAAGGCCCAGAAAAAGAAAACAAGAGCAAGTCTACTAACCGCACAATTCCATACTCGCACTTCTTCATCCCTGCATGCGGTGACCACCCAACCCCCCCGTTCATGCACGACAACATCCTTAACAAAATCCGGATGTTCTAACACCATGTTCGGCTTCCACTTAGTTTCTCTGGTTAGACACTTGGCAGTTTTATCCGCGGACGCTGTCCACAGGTCGCCATCCGCGTCGAAGAAAATTTTAAAGACGCCGGTTTTATGTTCCACTATGGGTTCTGAAAGCTTCAGCTCCTTCATCGGAGAGGATGCTTTGAAATAGCAGATGGCTGGATCACTTCCTGCGCTGAAGACAGTAACCTCTGACGGATCCTCTTCGGATACCAGGGGGTCAATGGCAAAGTCCTGTATTCCAAGAGCGTAGTATGTGAAGCTATGCAACCGCTTGCCGGTACGTATGCTCCAGATAATTATTTGAGTATCTGCCCCGCCGGATATCAGCAAATCATCACCGGGAACTCTAAGGGAAATTAGAGCCTTTACGAAGTCGGTGTGCCCCTCATATCTTTGTTTCGGTTGCCGCGTAGCTACGTCCCAGCTCCAGATAGTCTTGTCCCAGCAGCCAGCATATATGGTTGTGCCATCGGGGGAAAGGCAGATGCTTGTTAGGGGTGCGGTTGGTCCTTTGTAAAGGGCGGAAGTTTTGCCTGACTTTAAAATCAAATAGATAACCAATTAGGCTTTGAAATGTGATGGCGATAATAAAAAGGTATCCGTCTGCCATACCATACCATATGTAAATTTTAGCGGGGGTTGTGTGCTAACCTACTTCAAGTTCCACTCTCCTTAGAAGGCCTGCACTCTCGGCGACATAGACAGAGTGACTGCTGGAGGGATCAGCAGCGATTGCCAGAAGTTTGCTATTGAGCTTGATCGGGTTTCCATTTAAGTTCTCTGACTTTTTGGCTTTGCGATGTGAGTCCTCCACGGCAGCGCTAGGGCAGTCAGTATGGTCGGCATGGTCACAAACGGCCTATGTCTATGTCTATGGCTGTAGAGGGTACTGACGTTGTACGAAAGAAATCATCTGGATGTGATGACACGGCCATGATTGTGTATATCCAGGGCATTAAAGCCTTAAACTCAGCTTCGAAATGAACTGTTTATCTCATATATCTGTATCTGCATATGTGAGGTGAAGCTCCTTGGTTGTCCCTCTGCTTGGGCGAGCTCTGGGAACTAACTAACTATCGTAATTCCCAAGCGAGCGGAACACCCAAGCGAGCGGAACACCAAATCAACATATTTCAACTGACTAGATTTTAAATCAAATTATCTCAACACCACAACACTCAATTAAATTAAATTAAATTACACTAGGTTGAGGACATCTTATTCTTGTGTGCCTGAGAGTGCCGCAATTACTGCAGCGTTGTGGAGCTCATTGGCGTGGTGCAGGCTCAGATGACTGAGACTCATGGGGTTGAATAACTGCCTGTTCAACAGGTGCAGCAGGTGAAATAATAAGATCCTGAGCTTCATTCCTAGTTAGACCTCCTGTGTGTTGGATTTGATGTCTAGACCTATTCCACTTTTGCTTCTCTATCTCATTTGCATTGAATATATCCTGGTATTGCTTCTTCATAATAGTGGCGCTGACGATGCTATATTCACAAGCCTTGATAATTTGATCAAGGCCTTCCACTAAGCCCTGAGGCTGACCAAAGCTCTTTAACCTTTTTTGCTTGCCGCTGCAACTGCTGGGGGCTACTAGGTGTTTGAAGAACCCAGGACGTACTAGATATGCTAGGTGATCGCGTCGGAGTGCGGAGCTGAATATCCAGCTGCTGGATAACATAGTCAGGCTGAAATGGCACTATTCCAGTAGCCTTGAAGCCATTCTGAATATTCTGAGCTTTAAAAGCTTCCACACAGGCTGCAGGATAAGCTTCTAAGAAATCAATCTTGGAAATAGTATTGATTCCAAGCCGCATTCGCTGTTGGACTAGACTGCCATATACTTGCTTTAAAACTGAAAAAATGCTCACACCTAGTGGCTGCAAAAGATGTGATGAATGAGGAGGAATGCAAAGACAGATAATTGCATTAATCTTGCAGGTTTGATCAAATTCCAGAATAAGATGACTACTGTGTCTATTCAGAATAAGAAGAATAGAACTGCCAATTTGACATGGCTTTACTTCTGAAATAAATACCTGTGTAAGTCATTTAAGATCTATTTCATCAGTAGTCTAGTCATTAGACTAACATCAAGCCTCCAGCCATTTGGAAGGCCTTCAAACCAGCCTTCCTGAAGATTCTGACCTTTGAGAATGATGTATGAAGATAGAGTCCATCCTGATGAATTGACTGACTCAATTACAGTCACTAATTTCTGATTTCCAGGCTGTAGAAGCTTTGCCTGGCTATAGCACTCACTTCTAGTAATAATCTTAGTAGTAGCACAGAGTTCCATTGCAAAGTTAGTCTCATCAACATTGTATATCTCCTCTGACAGAATCCCATACTCAGCAATTGCATCCTCCAAGGATCTTAAACCAAGTCTGAATAACCTTTATATCCTCACATTTGGCCCAGTCATGATTATAGCATCTGGAGTAACAGGCCTGAAGCTCAGGATGGCGTGCCACTAGATTTGACACCCAGTTCTTGCCAACGCTGGGGGGGGGGGGGGGGGGGTTAGTGGTGGAGGTGGTGGAAGTCCGTATAGTAAGAAGATAATTAGCTGTATCCTCAACGAATGCCGGCCGTGGGGGAAATCCTCATTTAGCTTGATACAGCACCCATTCAACTAGCCTATTCTCTTCAGCCTGGGTTAATTTGATTGAATTTGCACGTAGATTCATGCGAGCAGTCCGGCCATTGAGTCGATAACTTAGAGTAGATAATGACACATCAAATACACGTGCAGCTTCACGGATTGAGGAGATTTCTTGCTTTTTTAAAGCATTTATTGCGAGCTCAAGCCTCCCCTCTCTCTCAAGAGAATTTGAAGTGTTTTTATTGCGAATTGGTGGCATAATTGCGCGTTGAGATGGATGAGTAGTTAAATGAGAAGATATTTTTGAATTGGTGTTCCGCTCGCTTGGGAATTACGTTAGTTAGTTAACTATAACTAGTTAGTTAGTTAATCGTAGTTAAGAACATCCAAGTTATGAAATCAAGGGCCCAGTTAATGCTCTGGCACTAGTTAGTTAGTTATAGTTAACTAGTTAGTTAGTTAACTAACTAACTAGTACTATCCAATTGCAAACAGCGCTAGTCCTTATCAGGCTAGAGCAGACTGCGCAACAGGGCTCTATCGCTTTCCCGTAGCGAGGCTTCCTTTTCCACACCAAACAAGCTTCTGCTGGTTTTTTCTCTTCATCCTCTTTTCCTTCATCCTTCAATCCTTAACACTCACTTTCTCAATCTCATCACGCTACTCTAACTGCACAATACCATCTTCATCCTCCCTCTCCCTACTTCTTTTCTCCTCCTCAAACACTGCATCTCTCCTCCTCTCTTCTTCCTGGCTCTGTTCCCTACTGTTGGTCTGGTTGTTGTCGTTCTTGTTAATTCTCCCTCTTCCAAATACAATACCTTCTTCCCCTGCTGTCGCGCGAATCCGCGCAGCAATCTTCTTCATTATGGATATGAACCACTTCATCGGGTTTGTAGCTCTCCATATCATCTCTCTCCCCATCCTTGTTGCCAGAATTTTGCAATCTTAAGACTAACTGAAGCCAACAGGCAGCGATTTAACTTGATATCGAAGAGTGATATTCGGTTCGAGCGGCTCCTTGATCCCGTTGCAGATCCTTAGGCTCTGGAGCTGACTGGTGTCACAGCTACGTTGGTACTCTCCATGAAATAAACCCAGAGGACTCCACCATTGCCCTGGAAAATGTCATTTCACACGGCACGGAAGGCAGACGTGGCAATCCTGCTGAGGAAATCGCCCCGTCTGCTAGTGTCTACGAATACATAGTCTTCCGCGGAAGCGATGTAAAGGATATCAGCGTTGCAGAGGAGCAAAAAGAAAACCAGCAATCCGAACCTCCTCAGGTGCCTAATGATCCTGCTATCCTTGGTGTAAGTCAAACGTTTGCCCGGCCAATCCCAACCGCCAATGTCCATCGCACCCTCTTCACTTGTCTAGTTTCGCCCCTCCAATTGATCTTCTGATGAAATATTTTCGGATGTAAATCACAGACCTGTTCTGAAAGCGCAAAACCCCGTGTGGATTCTTTCCGTTGCCTTCCTTCTGATCAAGATCTTATCTTATATACTCTTTATGAATTTCTGTAGGCCTTCTGGTTTTATACAATTGGGCGTGGCTAATCATTACCTTTGACAGAGTGGAATGCGGCCTGGACCTCCTCAAGGCCCTCCCCGTGGCCAGGCGAATCAGACTCAGTTTCAACCTCCTGGTCGTCAACCACCTCCTGGCTATCAGCAACCACCCTTTCCCGGTTACTATACTCCATACAGTCAGCGATTTGGCCCTCCTGGCTTTCCTCCTGGACCAGGCTTTCCAAACGCTCCATATGGCGCTCCTCAAGGATGGTATCCTGGTCCAGGTCAAGGATTCCAGCAACCACCTGGTCATTTCCCACCACCACCACAGGTGCCTATAGGCACCCCTCAACAACAGCAGCAGGGACAGCAGGCGCAGCAGCAACGCCCTGGGGTTCCTCAGCCTCCATCGTCTGCAAATGTGCCTAAGCCTACCTCTGAACTACCGGTTGGCGACAAGATCTCTCAGCCCACCGCACCCGCTGCCTCTGCACCCGCACCCCCATCAGAAAAACTAAAAACCTCAGTTCCTGAACAAACCACTCCAACTACTCTCCCACCGACATCACAGAAACAAGTCACAGCCCCTACAGCGGCACCTACTACGGCATCTGGCACTGCGTCCAAAGCGCCACCTCCTGGACCAAACGCCTCTGGGCCGATGAATGGAAGAGTTATGCCTGCTATTCCTATACCTAAACCACATATTCCTTCTACAACCACAGCCACAGCCACAACCACAACCACAACCACAACCAATACATCTGGCACTGTCACCACGCAGACCCCAGTGCAAAATGCTAGGGCTACATCGGCGGCGATGCAAGATGCAACCCGGGCTGCTACTGCAGCTGTTGCTGCTGCAATGGCTAAGCTCCCCCAACCCCCAAGCCAAGTTTCACAGCCAACAGATAAAGCGGTTGAGGCCGTAACCAAAAAAGTCAGCGAGATGAAACCGCTTGACGGTGAAAGAGCTCCTCGCGGAACACAACAAAACACCCGTGGCGGTCGGGGCGGTCATCGTGGCAGCCACTACCACCCGCAGCCCAAGAAAGTCGAAGTACCCACTACCGACTATGATTTTGAATCTGCAAATGCCAAATTCAATAAGCAAGACCTTGTGAAAGAAGCGATTGCCTCTGGCGCACCGTTGGGAGAGTCTGAACAAAAGGAAGTCAACGGCACAAGTCCTACCGAAAGCGCTGACAAGGCAAATGGAACTGGCGCCAATATTGCCTATAACAAAGCCGCTTCGTTTTTCGATAACATTTCGAGCGAAAGCCGGGACCGTGAGGAAGGAATTCGGGGCAAAACCAGTGGCCGGGAATGGCGCGGAGAGGAAGAGAAGAAGAACATTGAGACATTTGGTCAAGGAAGCATTGATGGCGGTTATCGTAGCGGATACAGAGGACGTGGAAGAGGACGCGGGTCTGGTGCACCACGCGGTGCCAGAGGATCGTACACTCGAAGTTATTCCGGTGGGCGCGGACGAGGTGGTTTCCGTGGCGGACGAGGGGCCCCACAGGCTGCTGGAGTTTCAACTTCGTCTTGAGCTCACTTACCCATCCCGCTCTCCCACTATTCGCTCTCGTTCGCGATACTTTCACCCAATTTGATGTGCGATGAACGAAAATTCGATGGTTAGCTACCCTATTTACTATGAATAGCTTTCTCATCCAACATATTTTTGTTTTTATGTTTCTTCTTTTAAATCTCGATGGTCCTTTGTTTTATGCCTGTGTATGTCGTGATGACCGCTGAAACTGTACTATTTTGGTGATGGAATTTGAGTTTCTGTCTTCGTGCATGCGTGTCTTGTTCTTTTGCTCGCAGGCTAATATCCGGCGTTGGACCATTCCATCTGTTAATCCACTTCCTCGTCTGTTTCTCTCTTTTTCCTTTCTTTATTTCTCAATCAGGGCAAATGCACGTACTTGTGGGGCGCTTTACAACTACTGCTTAATGGCGTGGCGTGGCGTGGCGTGTGCGGGTGGTTTGCAACAATATTTGACGAAGAATAATTTGTATTTATTTTCCTTTGCGCGTTGGTTGTTTGGGGGCGGGAGGTGGTTTGGATGGTGCTGCTGCTATTTCTCTCTTCTGCTGTACTTTTGTCTTTTTTCTCTCTTTATGCCACATGAAACTTTTTCGATATTTTCCCCATGCTTTTGTTTCTTTTGCTATTCCTCTTTTCCCATACCATTACCCCTGAGGGCACATTGCCCCGTTTGCCGCACGTTAATCGTGTTGATTCCCCTGGCACCCGGTTTTCTGTTCTCAATGGTAACTCATGCGCTTTCTTTTCTCCCATTTAGCTTTTGTTCTTTATACTCTTACCTATCTTGCGACCTGATATAGGGAGATGTTTCTCTGGATCCGGGAAGCCGTTACACGGAAATCTGTGCCTTGTACCTTGTTTTCCCTGTTTCTCTGTTTGCCAATGCCGGGATCCCTTCATTTGAAAATTCGGCACACATGTTTTCTGTCTGTGTGTGTCTTGTTTTGTGCTTTAGTCTTGTTCATAGGGGTTTGGAGAAGGGGAATCTGGGTTAATCAGGCGAACTGAGAAAAAAGATATAAAGTAGCATACACACAGCCTATTTTTTAATACAAAAAAGAACCAAAATCGGGAGTCAGCGAAATCATGATGATAGATGATAAAATGAAAATTGAAAAACCTTGGAAAAATTCGCCTCGTATGAGGCTTTCGACTTCTCAACAAGCGTGCTTTTTTTTTTTTTGCCCTTAGTTTTGATGCTCATGTCTTTTTCTTGCAGAGCAATAATCCAAAGCTAAACTTGATAATTCAAAGATGACAGCCAGCCACGAGGATAGCAGTTCATGTGCCATGTATACAGTGCCTGGTGCCTGAGATGGAGCGCCTTTTCACGTGCAGGGAGTGTTTGATTTGGGATCTTGCTCTCATCGCCTTTGAGAGTCCCCAGCGGACGGTTCCATTGTATGTGCCGTACATACATGTTATGTAGCACTCAACTGCAGTTTTATAACTGGGAACTATAGATATCCTTTGAACTCCTCAGATCATGGACTAGTAAAATATCAAAGCATTTCTCAATTCTTGAAGCTGTGTTGGCTATGTATGTGGGACAACGAGAGATGGATATCATGTGAAGAGGACGGGCATATGCATGTTGACTAAGCTGCGCCTGCAGGGTAATTCTGACAAGCCGCGGTTCAACGGGGGGTAAAAAATGCGCTTCTTAAACAACCCGCTGTTGCGCATCTGCAACAACCTGCCAGTGTCGGATGCCGGATTGCCAGATGCCTGATGCCTGATGCCTGATTATTCCTTTTGTCAACTTCCCGGCAGCCCTGTTTTTTAGTCAGCTAAGTAACACAATAGCTTCTTGCCAAGGTTTAGTTAAATGTGGGCAATATATCAGATCTCTCCTCCCATATCCCTCCCTCCCATCCAACCAACACCCTGGTCTATATAGATATTTATACGATCTCTATGCCTTATTGATCATCTTTTTACTCTTTTCTGTCGCGTCTCTTTAACCAATTACATTTCCAAACTCTCCCGCCTCGTGCTCCCCGATAGAGGCCGGGTTGTCCCTCCTCCATGTCGGACTCAGTCGGCAAGTGTTCCCTGTTTCCCATCTGTTTGAAGAGGAAATATCCAACAATGTCACAAGAGAATGTCCCTGTTTTCGTTTTATTTATTTATTCAAGAGAACTTCCACTGCTTCCTTTCTCTACTTACGGAGGAAAATCATTTCATTGGTTAATTATTTCTCCTCGTGGCTTTTCTTACTTCTCTAGACCGAGTGTTCGTCCATGCGCTCAATACCGTGAAGCGCATACCCCGAACGGGGTCGGCCAGACCACCCCTACCTGAACGTCTAAGGCTTTATGGCTTATACAAGCAGAGCATGGGTACGAAATCTTTTATGTTTTGTTCCATCCCTCACTCTCCCCGATCCATTCCACTTTTCTCGTCCATTTATATGGATTTCGTGTGAACGTGGGAAGCTGATGCGGAACATTCAATCGTGATTTAGAGGGTGATGTGGAAGGGGTCATGGATCGTCCTGACGATGATGGAGCAAATCTCCAGGCTGAGAGGGAGAAATGGTACGTGCATCCTCCCGTTTTCAATTATTTATAAGAGTAAATACGTGTACACCTACCATCAAAGAACTACAGCTAACAAATATACCGTTGAACCGACTAGGGACGCCTGGTACGCGCAGCGCCATCTATCCCGCACTGAGGCGAAACGGCAATACATCACCACCTTACTAGACACGATGAATAAATACGCCTCCTCGTCACCGGAAGCGCGCGAGCTCATATCTGAATTGGAGTTTGTCTGGGATCAGATAAAATCAAACTCCCCCTCCTCCTCCCCTACCAGCCCCGTGCACAGCTCCAACCTGCCACTGCACCAATCATCACGCATACCCCACTCCAGGTCAAACTATGGCTCTCAATATGGGAACATTCGAGGGCGGATATCTCGGGTTGAAGCTGAAGAATTGGGGAGCCGGGTACATGGGCGGGATCCAAGGTTGAGAGTGCTTACTCCTGTTAGTCAGCCAGATGTTTATATGCCCAGTACTGGGCGGAATTACGAAACAGCGACTGGAGAGGAGGAAGAGGAGGAAGAGGAGGATGACGACGACGACGAAGAGGATTTCCAGGAGGCGCGAAATAGTCCTTACGAAGACTATGGCAACGATCAACAACAAGCGGACAATAGTGACGCCCGCCGGCGACCTCCCGGTGCCTTAGAAAAGGAGAAAACTAAAGACAGGACCAAAGATAGAGATAAAGGCCTCTACAATCGCCGCTGGCGCCGGCGCATCGAGCAAGCCATGACCAAAATGACAGCTGAAGTGGCCGCGATGAGAGAACAGATGGAGACACGCGCGCTGAACAGTCGTCGCCGCTCGAGTCTGTGGGCGTGGATTAAATGGCTTGTCTGGATTGCTATCCGGCAGTTGTGTTGGGATATTGCAGTGTTGGGGTGTGTGCTTTTATGGCTGCACGTGGTTAATGGGGATAAGCAGTTGGAGGATAAGTTGAGGGGGTTGAGTATTTGGACGGAGGTGAGGAGGAGGGTTGCGGCTGTAAGGTTTGTGAGAGTAAGGATTCCGAGGTTGGGGTAGTGTATTTTTAGATTTGTTGGAGGGGGTTGAGCGGGGGGGGGGGGAGGAGAGTTGGCACTTTTGCACCCTCTTGTTTCATTCCCTGTTCCCCTGATTCTTCTTCTTTTCTCTTTGGGCCTTTGTGGTCGTAAATAACTTCCCCGTACATATTCTCAGAGCATTGCTTTTATTCATCCCTCATGAACCTGCATATACATACCTTCCTTACCTTTCCCCCTTTCCCACTAACTATTATCTGTACCAAAGAGATACATGCATGCTTGTATATAAATATATATATATATCCCCCAATGCTGCTGGATAGCAGCCAATGAACTTGTATATAGGGGTTGTAGGAGTTGTTGTAGACACTTAAAACCAACCCTTTAGCAAAAGTAAAATTAAATAAATAAATAAAAATATTCTTTATTCGCATTAAACAGCGTGATCCTTCTTAAAGAACAAATTTCCTCACGATTATCGATTCCACGAACTCTTCCATAACTTTCCAGAACTCCATCAACCTGGCTGAAGCAATATATATATAAATATAAATATAAATATCTAATCTCTTTGAAATTTAACAAATCACGTGACATACTATAGAACTAAGCAGATTAATCCGACTCGAAATTAGGACTCTTTGCTGGCAAACGTTCCATAGACCGAGGTCACCATCCGCGGATTCACTAAGTTAGATGACGGAACCGCTTGTCGATTCTGAAAGGGGAGGGAGAGTATCTTCCCCCACGGTCAATTGCGTCAGATCTATATCCCATACATCATTTTTTATCTACGTAGATAGATGGAATGCGATTACGTCGATGCTGGAATGAGTATCTATTTGTTCAATTGAATGAGTGGGTGAATGAATGAACGTATATTTCCAACAACCCCATCCGGAAAAGAGAGAAACGAGAAAGTTATCTAGGTAGATATAATTCTCTACAGAATAGTACGGGATATATATCCACGACTGCTGCTGCGCCCGTTCGTGCCTCTACTAAGTCGACACACCAACTTGGCTTAGGTATCGAGTGTCAGTGGAGTGGACGGTGTTAAGATTTACATGTACGTAAATATATACGTACACTGGGCTTCTGGAAAGAAGAAGACGTGTTAAAATAAGATGGCCAACGACGATGGCGCGAGACGGAGGGCGGCGAGGGAGGCTGTGGAAGGGTTTTGTGAAGTGTAAGTTTAAAGAATCACTGCATCTGACCTTAAACAAGGGTATTACTCTTCTATAGTTAACTATCTATATGCTAACGCTCTTTCTTCAGGTATAAGGGGATTATGGAGGAGAAGAATTTCAAAGTCAGTATCTGCAGCCATATCCGTGTATATCTGGAAAGATACATTTACTTTAACGACGTTTGTGAAAAGATGATTCCATATCCCTTTCAAAACTGACGCCTATGTTTATCTTCCCTTTGCCTCACGGAATACAGGGCTATGATAGACAACTCATGCAAGATTTGCGCCTGATCGATGCCAGTCCGTCCGGGGGAGCAGTCTGGGAACTTACTATCACAGAATTCTGGGCGAATTTGAACGGTAGGACGAATATTTGCATTCATTTACATTAGTTATTCCCAATGGCGGATATGCTAATTAGAGTTGCCCCTGAAAATTAGGTGTGATGCATGGCGGTGCTTATGGGGTGATATTTGGTACGTGATTCGAATTTCCTTTCCCATTTTATTATCGAATTGATTGTAGCAAAGATTAACTGGTGCTGCAATATGCAGATATGTGTACTGCCATTTCCATGAATCCTATTGCGAGGGAGGGATACTGGGAGTAAGTTCAACACAGCAGATACACAACGATCAACATCGCGACTCAAAACTTTCCATCTAGGTTCCTAGCTGGCGTTACCCGATCACTGAATATCTCTTATCTGAAAGCTGTGCCCATAGGTATGAATATCTACGAGAAAATACAAAACATTGTTGCTCCTTTCCATTCTCCCACTTTTGACTATACACACTAAGCCATCCACCCCTCTCCTTTATCGAAGAGTAACAGGGACGACGATACGCATCCGAGCCAACGTTGTCCAGCACGGGCGAACCATGGCTCTTATCAGTGCAGTGATGGAGTCGCCGGATGGGAAGGTGGTGTATGCCACAGCGGAGCACCACAAGGTGCATGTTCCGGCGCAGCCGGAGTATGCGCAGAGGATGAATGAGTGGCGGCGGCAGCGAGAGCTTGCTAAACTGTGAACGTAGACGGTGTTGGAGGCAAAAGGACAGTGATTAAGCGGAGCATGTTCAATTTCCAGACAAATTAAATGAACTTAAGTTTCAACGGAAGTAGAAAACCGTGTGGGCATTCCGAACTAATAATGTATATATATGTACAGAGCAAACGAGATCTTTTGTGTTAGTTTTTCATTATGCTAAGATGAAGTACAATAATCTAATATTGCGGTCCCGAGTAATTGGCATAGATCTGCTTTTCTCGAAGATGGATTGGGGTCTGGCCCTTGGGGGTATCGGGGATTTCTTTCTTTAGTCCCTATTGTCACGAGATATGTCAGTCACAATCACCTGTCCGGACTTTTCGTGATTGAGAGAAACACGAAATGAAAAGTAGCGTACAAGTTTCTCAAATACACAAGCATTCAGCGCAACCTCGGGCCTCCGGCATTGCCACAACTGGTGGTTACTCTGTTCTAAACATTCCCAATGAGCCTTAAATTGGTCGAAGCAGTTTGCGTTGATATCCTTGATACTAACCAAACAATTTAGCAACGCCAGCATTCGGGAACAGAGAAAAAAAATAAAAATAAAAAAACCTATAACAATGCCTTCAGTATCGACAAAATACATACACACTAGCTGCGCAACGGGTAACTTTCCGGCCTTCTCTCAAGCATTCTAGCTCGCCCTTTCCATTAGCCTCCGTCTTGCACTTCATGTAATCGTCATTGAATGCCCTGCAGCGGTCGCCGATAAAAAATGATGCGCTCATCAGAGGGGCAGATGTGGCCCCAATCTCTTTGACCTTGGGGATGTCATCTGGCATGGGGGTTGTGTCGATGAGCACATGTTGGTTGAACCTATGTTAAGAAGCAGAAGTTAGCCCGGCTCTTGGACTGTGGGGGGAAGGGGTAACAATTGAGGGCCGTACTTAGCTCCGCGACTCCCAGACATGGTGGCAAACTATGTTCCGTGCACGATTGGAGCTTTTAAAAGTGGATGCGGGAGGGCGGGCGGGGAGGAATTAGAATTGGGGTTCGGCGGGATTGAGCTGGCGTTTGGTTGCTCTTTGCGTTGTAGAGGCTTAGATAAGCGGTGTTTTTGCTCTGATGCGGGTTTATTGATATCCCGGATTCCGCAACGTCAAGACCTATTTACGCCTCATTAGTTATAGGTATAGGTAGATGATGTTACATGAAAGTTCTCTCATTTGGCAATATCTCACACATATGACATGTCAATTGGGATTGAATAATATGGTGGGTGGCTGCCTTAGAATCATAATTGCAGGGTTCAATTATGCTTGCCGGGGAAGTGCAGTTAAATATCAATCCCTTAAGTGTTTACCAGCTTCCATGGCATCCTATTCCTTTACTTTGTTTCTTTCATGGGTGAATATCACCGCGATCTCTTGATATTGAATGTTTGCCAGAATTGCTACTCTCCAAGGAATGATAAAGAAGCTAAGTTCCCGTTCTATCTCATGGCAATATCTGTTCTAGATACTGTCTTTTTCCTCGGATTCATCATTCTCTCGCATTGTCAAACCATACCGTGCCTGTGTGGATCTCCCAGAGTTCCCTATTTTGACTCGTGTCTCTTCCATCTTGTTCCTCCTTTGTTCTTGATTCAGTGTATTTTTCGCTTATATCTGTCATTCGAGGTTCCTACACTCCGAATAAAAGAATGGCGGAGTGAGTAACTCTAATCCGCCAAGTCCCCCTGACTGATATACAATTATGCTAAAGTGGTCCTAGGTACGAACTGTTAGGTGCAAAAGGTAAACAATGATACTACCTCACGTTTGGATAGCTACGGTTATTGTTTTAGCTGGGCCTCTTGTGCGTTCGTTGACTTCTTTCAGCGTGGAGGCTGGACTTGGAGGATAAACAGGCCACCGCCGGATCAAGTAACCCCGTTGATAAAAAGTCTCCAGGAGGTGACCCTAATCAAAATAGAAACCCAAGCAGCGGTAGGAATTCCCTGATTTATAGAGAAACTATAGCTAACATGTCTAGGCAATTCTGACAACGACGGAGCATTAGCAGCACGCAGAGATCCAGGGGTACCTATTCCTGTAGGTAGAGGTGTGCCTGTCTGGCTCCGAGGTCGTGGCACCAATGGAAAACTCAGACGGAACAATGCTGCTGCTTGAAGCGAGGGTCAGCGGATATACGAAGGCCCTGGATCGGTTGATACTAGAATTAGCCTCTATCCTAATGGCATGCTACTTGAGTGCAAACCCTATGGTGTTCTATGTGGCTAATTGCTTTTTGTAGACAAAGCCGAAAAATACACAGATCATTTCGCAAAACTCACACGTTATTTGGCGGCCAAGGAGATACGCAATGAACTTACGGAAAGGCGCCAAGGGTTGCTTCAGCAATTAAGACAGAGGCCCGATTCTTCTACTACATTTTCGGAAACGGTACGGCTTATTTTGAACCATATTACGAATTCATAAGAGCTAACAATTATATGCGCACTTTAGATGCTTTTCCTTTGGCCAGAAGATGAAATTCCAGTAGAGACTGCTCTTGGGAAAGACCTGGAAGCTCTGGATGCCATCCGTGAAGAATTTGGCTATTATATCTATCTATATGAGGAATCTCCACATGAACAAAAATATATTCGAGTCGATGGTCACGATCACGGAATTATCATCGAGATTGTCAAGCGGTTCCGAGCAAAATGGGTGAACCTTTTGACGGAAATGGGCATCAAACCCAAGTTATATCTAGTCCAAATTCCTAACGTCGACCTCCTGAAAACGGAAATAGGCTTGGTCAAATGCCGCCAACCTGGTTGCTGTACTATCGAGGCAGTCCCTGTACTCTTCGGAGGATATTTATATTCGTCTGATTTGAGAGTTAGCATTGATAGAGGAAATTTGCTTTCTTCAAAGAACGAGCTTCGCTTGCGTAGTGCTGTCAATCAAACTCTTCAGAGCGTGCGATTCCTAGTGGGCCATGTACGAATGCGGGTGAATCTTGGGAAATTTGTTCTTGAAAATTACCGAGTTCCTCCAGATTCGAAGCCACGGTAGTCGTTCGAGGAATTTCGAAGCATGCTTTTCTATGGGAGAACAAAGGGCCGTCTTATTCCTGGGTATGTCGCTCCGTGCGCTTTGGGATTATCTCAGTGCTAACGTTTTGCAACTCAAGCCTTGGATTTAAGCGCTATGACGGTGACTTAATAACTCGATGTTCACAGGCTTCAGATATCCTTATACCGTTTGACCCACAGGTCGAATTGTTGGAAGATAATAAACCGTTCTACGCCGTAAATATCGAATTTGAAGATGCCAATGAAGCATTGCTCCGCTTGGAGGCCGAATTTAGGGAGTCCCGTTTCAGAACCGATATTTTTGAGGTGTCCCAGCGACGTTGGGTAAAGCCTCATGGCGACGATGGACTTGGAGATAAACGACCACCACTTCAAATTGGGGTTGTAGACTTCGAAAAAGTTTGTATTCCCCAAACCCACTTAGTAGCTGAGGCAATTTAATCGAAACAAACATCTAACTCTTCAACAGATCTGATTGGCAATTGGAAATCAAAGCACTTGACTTCCAGCAACTGTCAACCATTGAAAAATCTCTAAAAAGCTTTGCTCACTCGGTCCAATTCAAGAGCAGTCCTACAGATGGGCTTCATGGTGCTGCGAAACAACAAGTTACATTTTGGATCTTGTTTCTGTTTCTAAAGTTACGGAGAAATCAGCGCTTAGGTATTGTCTGAAAGGTTCTAAGTACATCTTTGAGCTTGCGCGGTATGATACGTACCATCCCGCCGTTTATTCAGGTCCCTCTTATACCAGTAGCAATTACCATAACCAAATGAATCAAACGGCTGAAACGACATGGGGCGCATCCATATTTCACGACGAATGGGATAACATACTAGGCAAAAATGGTAGCTTCAGGATTGGAGAAGCCGCCGATTGGAATGCTAGTCTGATCACCTTCTTTCCCTACGTTGATGATGTGCCCTTGACAGATGTTAATGCTGGATTTAACCAATTCATCCACCTAGTCAACCAGGCAGCACTGCTTTTGGCTCCCGAACGAGGTAGTGATGTCATTGAGCGGTTTGAAGTTGCTCCTAGTGAACATATTAAACCTACGAAAACGAGGAATGTCCCAAACAAGTCCTAGGCATAGGACACTGCTTTATCGTGAGGAGTTGCGCAGTTGTCGCAGTCTCTTGGAAAGGAAATTCCATCAATCTATGCCGAATAAAAGGTTGTAAACAGATTGAAGAATTGGCCAATGACCCATTAACATCGATGAATTGTGGCATTCGACATACGTTCCCTTCTCGCTCTCAAATGTCTTCTAATTTTTTAACTCATCTTCTTAATAATGTTTATGCGAACGGGTTGAAATTTGTCAAGGACGAACTTTTACCACCCAGCGCATTTAACATCAACTTTGTTTCAAACAAACGTAGTTAAGGCAAGCAATCATGACAAAAATGGTCCCCTCTTGCGTTCGCTATCAAGGATCGTTTTCACCCTAAAAAGGCCAGATTTATATATTAACAGCCAGCAAGGAATATTAAAGGGAGTTTACTAACAGCTCACACAGTTCGACTTCCTGATCCATAACTGTGTAGGTAGCAAATTTAATTCCATGTTAGAAGCCAAGTTCAAGAACCAGAGATATAATATCTCCCAGTTGTTAAACTCCGATGATATGGAGCGCGTATAAGGAGCCCGCGCCGCAATAACCTGGCAATGATCTGTTCTCTAAATTTGTCAAAGGCCAAAGGAAAGGCAAAAGGTCAAAACCAGGTTGAGAATGCATGTTTTGACAATTGCCTGGCATGATGAAAGGGCCCTATATGCGCAATATCTATAACCCCAGGCATATCGTAGTGTTGAATAAGCCAAGTGCGGGGCATAGTTATATCGGATAACTAGTTAACTAAAGTAATAAGATGACATATAATTAAGCATCATCACCACCACCCCCGGCACTGGATGGTCCTGTAGTAGCTTCACTAAGGAGTTTTTGGCGGAGAACTGTTTAGGATCTGTTAGACCGGAGGGCTATCTAAGCACAAAGAAAAAATATTAGAAAACGTACCCTCCTCGATTGTCCGTAGATTCATGCTCTTCAATTGCACGACTTTCTCCAACTCTCGTAGATTTGTGCCTAGCTCTTCGACCTTTGCGTTGTAGAAGGCGATGGCCTTTGGCATTGTCTAGATTTGCAGGGTTAGCGGATAGAAACTGGTGGGTTTCTTCGTAAAACAGGCGTAGTAAACGACTCTAATCCCATGATTCTAGGATTACACCCCATTGTACAATACTAGGGAAGCGTAAAGCATAGAAATTACACACCTTCTCAACATAAAATCCTGTCCCCACATCCACAATTACATTCTTCCTATCTGCCAGTGTTCCTTTGACATACAAAGAGCTCGTCAACGGAACCAGAATATCGTCACTTTCCCCGGCCACAGAACCTCCCCCAGCACCATTTGTACCTCCGGTGGGAGGGGTTATACCGTCATTTATCGAGCGGATGCAATCGCGGAACTTTGACTGAGCATTTCTTAATTTTGCGTGGGAGCTTGTTAGATGTTCTAGCTCTGAGCTCAGACGGGATTGGAGGGAGCGTAGTTGCGGGGTGGAAAGGGTTGCGAGGTCAACTGGTGATTTGGCTTCCACGTTAGTTGATTAGATATCTAAGAGCGGGAATTAAGGGATGACTTGTTTATTTTCCATAGATAGAGGGGCATTGAGATGAGAATTGGGATCGGGAAATTTTGGGGCAGTTGGATTGTTTGGACGGACTTGCTCCTGGAGGGGTTTCACTAGGCTCTTGCTGTGCGAAAGAGGACTGCGAGGACATATTCTGGGTTTTGTTGTGTAGAGGAGTATGAATTGAGTGGACAGAGGTAGACGATTAATTATTTTGGGACGTTAATAATAGTGATTGGGCATCCGGGAGGAGATGGTTCAGCATATCTTGTTATGTTGTTTGAGGTGTGGAGAGTAATTATAGTTTGGCATAACAAATTTGATGGGGTTTGGTTGGAAGTTGTTAGTTGCTATGAAAGACAACAGGGAAGTGTGCCAACACTATCGATATGCACTACTCGACGAGAGCTTGTGGGCTTCAAAAATCATTAAATGGTTCATTTACAGAGAAAAATCTATGTAAAAGCTAAATACAATTTCAGGAATGGAAATCTTTGGATAAATTTGGTGTAAAATATAATACATGCGTATCTTTTGTCCAACCTATATTTGAGGCCCAAAAGAATCAATTTTGACTCGCTCAGGGGTTTCAAATATTAGAAGGTGACAATATATTAAACTATCCCTGGACCCAAATCCTTATAATAATACATGTTGAGGGAATATCACAACGTAACAGAAAGTAAGACCACCTTCTTCTAGAGCCTATCAAGCAACGACTTGGTATAAAAGCGCAGATCCTGTAGTGATACTGTTTCCCGAAAATTCTCTAATCGTCGACATTGAATCTCCAGTTTGCTGTCTCTCTTCCACAACTTCCCAATGACGATTATCACAGGATACCCAATCAAATCTGCATCTCTGAGTTTCCATGTGAGACTCTTCTCTCTATCGTCAATTATCGCATCGACGTCGGCTTTCCGACTTTCCATGAGCGTGTCGTAGACTTGTTCAGCTTCCTTCTCCAGCTCTCTGTCTGAAATGATTATAACATCGAAGGGAGAGATGACCCTGGGCCAATTGAGTCCTTTGGGGTCTGCCAGGGTGTCTGCAACAGCAGCAATCATCCGGGAAACACCAATGCCATGACATCCCATTTCAAGAGGAACTGATACCGTGCTGCTTGATTGAGCTAAAGCTGTTCTTTCCGTTGTTAAGCTACCTCTTAGAATTGAAGAAGGTATAGCCACAGAAGCATTTAGCACGTCGCTATATCGAGTTCCCAGATGGAATGTATGGGCAAGTTCAATGGCAGTGTGTGTTTCTACCGAGTTTTCACCGCACTTAGAACACCTGTCTCCAGCCGCAGCACTAACGCAATCGAGTTTTACATTAGTTCCCGGGTACTGGTGAATGGACGAGAATTGCACATTTAGCTGTTCTAGAGCTTCCTTGCTCTGTCCTGCTGGTAGTGGAGGACGATCGCAAGGTCGGACACGGTGATCATAAATATCCAAAATAGCAGGATAACTGGATTGAGCCGCAGAGACTTGAGGATCTTGACTGGCTCTAGCTTGCCATTTCATCAACGGGCTGCTTACTCCAGCATCGAGATCCACTCCCGCTTCTCGAGCGATCGCTCTAACGGCATGTGAATTGATCTTGCGTTCCACTGGGTCGGAATGACCCTCCTGTACCAAATACTTCGAGTAGAAAACTCTCACAAGAGTTTTTCTATCTTTTGAAATGCTCATCCACATGTCAGTTGAGATCGTAGGGGCTTGTTGTTTCCCTAATCCTGCAGACTCTGTATCGAGAATTGAATACGTTGATTGTTCGACAGGATCCTTGTATGCTTTCCCGTCGGAAAGTTCTTCGTTGTATACATGACCGCAGCTGGAACAACTAACAATAGTGTCTTCGCCTTTCGAATTTGGGAGATGAAATTCGTGACTTAAACTTCCTCCCATGTTGCCGGAATCTGCAGCAGCCACAATGTATGGCAACTTGAGCTCATCGAATAGTCGTATGTAGGCCTCTTTGACAGCGTTATACGTTTCTATTGCCTTCTCAGCACTGTAATCAAAAGTATAGAGATCTTTCATCATGAATTCTCTGCCGCGAAGTAACCCCTGTCGAGGCCTTGGTTCATCCCGATATTTCCTGCCTACAAATTTAAAAGTACTCGTTAGCAGTATATGGTGATTTGAAGCCAGATCGGAACTCACCAAATTGATACAATCGTAATGGAAGGTCTCTGTATGAGCTCACAGAACTCGCTACAAGGGAGGTTATTTCCTCTTCGTGGGTCGGAGCAAGAAGAAACCTAGCCTCTTTTCGGTCTTCAAATTTAAAAAACTAATGTCCATTGTCTCAGTTGATGTATTGAGGGCTCGGAAGGAAATTGCAGAATACCTCTGAATCCTTTTTGAGTCTTCCAGACTTTTCCCACAAAGCTTGGGAGGATATGGATGACAAAGATAGCTTCGATGCCCCTTGTCGCTACGGTAAACATACGAACAGTCAAATGCTAGAAGACTTGGAAATCTTACCAAGTGTGCGCATGTGCTTATCAATCAGGCGTTCGAGCTTCTCCTGCACCCGCAGCCCAAGTGGAAGTAAATGGAATACCCCAGAATAGGCCTAAGAATGGTGAGCCGAAGAAAAAAGAAGATGGGGGCGTTTGATCCCACCTGACGAAGAAAACCTCCCTGAATCAGTAAATCATTTGCATCTGCCAAAGAAATGATCAGTCTATGTTCATAAGTGTGAGGAGGTCTCGGATCATACCGAGAGTCCCGGACTTTCTGCTGATTCCTCCCGTCGGAGTCCAGAAGCCTGAGAGTCGACTTCTTCCATCATTCTGTATATTAGTTAGCTCTGCAAAGCTATTCAAACACATTCAATGTTATGCAGTCAACATACATGAAATCTACATCGGTGAAGTTGGGAAGGATACGGGATGAGAGGAAATCGACGAGGCCGTCCAGCTCCAAACAAGGAGACATTCATAGGAGCCACAATTAAAAGAGAGACTCAATTAAACATCCATAACGCATAAACTTAAAAAAAAGAAGAAAAACACCCCTTCCAGATTTGAGATATATTGTCAATTCTATATATACAATTGAATCTCATTGATTGCTTGTTCTCACGTACGACCAACATATGAAATTCGATGGCCCGTGCTTTCAATGTCGGGTTTTCGGAGAAACCCCTTCCGACGCATCCATTACTATCAAAAAAATAACTTTTGGCTTCGAAGAAAATGAGGGTTAGGAAACACATAACCTAGCAATTTCTGTGCGCTATACAGCCACAGTTCATACAATGGGGAAGTCAAAGACGAAGGGAAGGCGTTCTTCCGCAAACGATATTGCAATTTCAGCTGCGGAAAAACCTGCCAACCCTCCCGTCGTCAATGCCGACTCACTTCCAGACCTCTCCGCCGGGATTCTAGCCAACCTCACAAAGCGCATTGAACAGCGATTACAGGGCCAGGACGGCGCGGAAACTCTGCCACAGAAGGAGGTAAAAGCTCCCACCGATGAATTGGGAAAACGAAAATATGCGGGACCACAGGCTGAAGTTAAGTCGGATAACAAAAAGGGGAAGAAGCGAGATTGGAATGGAGAGGTAATAGCTCCTCAGGGAGCTGTAAAAGGAAGAGAACGGCCTAAGGGAAAACGAGAAGGACATGGAAATAAATTGGAAAATGAAATATATGCGATTGGAGGGAGTAAAGAGGACTACGACCTTCTAGCGGGAATTGACTCTGACTCGGAGATGGAAATGTCTGCGGTTACGCCCAAGCAGGACGGGAAGCAGGTTAACGAAAACACTCTCCGAAATGATATCGCAAAAATGCTGAAGGGTGGTAATCCATCCCCGGCATCCAAACCTCCGAGCAAAAAAGTTTCCGTTGCGGAAGCTGTTACACCGGTTCCAGCTTCAAAGCCATCAAGAGCAGCAAACCCTCCAAAGGAATCCAAGCCATCAAAGGAGCCTCCAAAGAAAATTGACCTAAAGAAACCAACTCAGGCAGAAGATAGTGAATCAAAAAAGTTGAACCAGCTCCATAACTCGCGGTTGTCCAACATGGTTAGTTGTCATTTTCCCTTCAGTTCGATCCCAACTCAAATCTGACCTGGCGTTAGGTCGTCGAACCTCGACCTGATTGGTATGCCATACCTCTACCCCCAATTTCTTTAGAATCGACGAAGAGGAGCGGCATCGCCCGGCACATCTTGGACCGTATTCGAGAATATGCTCTCTCTCTCCTTGGCTTGGAAAATCAAGCCTTTGCAGCTGCACAGCAATCGTCATCTTCCCGCAAGTTCTATTCCACAATTGTTTCTTCCGGAACCCTGAGCGATAAGGTGTCCGCCTTGACATTAGCGGTACAAGAGTCACCTATACATAATGTGAAAGCATTGGAGAACCTTGTTGGACTCGCTAAAAAGCGAAGTCGAGCCCAAGCTGTTGAGGTTCTTAGATCGCTTAAAGATCTCTTTGCCCAAGGCACACTCCTTCCCAGCGATCGCAGACTCAAATCATTGGCCAACCAACCCGCATTGTTGGCTGCTCTTGAGGGTGTTCCTGGTAACTGGATGTCGTCAAATCCTTTACCCAATGGTTTGGAGCGGAGCCATCTCATCGTTTGGGCCTTTGAGGATTTTTTGAAAGAGCAATACTTTGAAATTCTGAAAATCCTCGAAGTGTGGTGTAATGATGAAATCGAATTTTCACGATCCAGAGCAGTAACCTATGTTTACGAGCTTTTGAAAGAGAAGTCGGAGCAAGAATCCAATTTGTTACGTCTTCTGGTCAATAAACTTGGCGACCCAAACAAAAAGATAGCTTCGCGGGCTTCGTATCTTCTACTTCAACTCGAACAAGCCCACCCATTAATGAAGCCAACTATAATCTCAGCGATTGAATCAGACATACTCTTTAGACCAAGCCAAAGTCAGCACGCGAAATACTACGCAATCATTACTCTTAACCAGACCGTGTTGAGCAGTGGTGAGGAGAATGTCGCCTCTAAGCTTCTCGATATTTACTTCGGTCTTTTCGTTACGCTGTTGAACCCGGCCAAGGATTCTGCGCGTCATTCTGAGCATAAGCATGGCAAACATGATGGTAAATCTAAGAAGCGACAAGGTGGCACTGCAGTTCCGAAAGGCCAGGCGCAGGAGGATGAGTTACGCGAGAAGCTTACTGCAGGTGTTTTAACTGGAGTAAATCGAGCTTACCCATTTACTAGTTCTGATGTCGAAAAGTAAGTCTGACCCCGATCGCCTACTATTCATTCTGGTTTCTTACATTCATTTTTGCATTTTAGGCTTTCCAAACATATCGATACGTTATTCATCATTACGCACTCTTCCAATTTCAACACAAGCATCCAAGCTTTGATGCTTATCCAGCAACTATCCTCTTCTCACCACGTTTCTTTGGACCGTTTCTATCGAACCCTATATGAGTCTTTGCTTGATCCTCGAATATCCACATCTTCAAAGCAGTCGTTGTATCTAAATCTCCTATATAAATCTCTCAAGTTCGACTTGAATGTCAAAAGAGTGAAGGCTTTCGTGAAGCGACTCGTTCAAATTCTCGGACTGCATCAACCTCCCTTTATTTGTGGTGTGTTCTATTTAATAAGGGAGCTGGAAAAGGCCTTTTCAAGTCTATCTTCACTGATGGATGACCCGGAGAATGTCGAAGACGATGATGAGGAAGTCTTTAGAGATGTTCCTGAAGATGAAGAGCAGACTGTTGAGCGGGCGCCAGATCAGGCAGAGAAGAAAATGGAAATTCGATATGACCCTCGTAAAAGAGATCCTGAACACTGCAATGCTGATAGAAGTTGTCTCTGGGAACTAGTAAGTAGTGCTCTTGATTTTATCTAATATGGCTGGACGGTTGTCACTAATCATAAATGTAGCTTCCTTGTCTTGCTCATTTCCATCCCTCCGTTTCTGTCAACGCTTCCCATTTACTAGATCACACCACCATGTCCGGAAAGCCAGACCTTTCAATCCACACCCTTACTCATTTTTTGGACAGATTTGCCTACCGCAATCCCAAAGCGGCCCCCGGTATGCGTGGGAATTCGATTATGCAGCCTCTCGCAGGAGGCGAGAGCAAGGGCTTATTGGTTACCTCTGGAGGAACTGCCAAGTGCCAAGAACCGGTGAACAAAGAAACATTCTGGAAAAAGCAATGCGATGAAGTTGCCGCTGAAGATGTATTTTTCCACGAGTACTTTAACCGCATGAATCAGGACAACGCGCGCAAAATTAAATCGAAGAAGAAATCTGGTTTCCGAGGTAGGGGTGGAGATGGAGATGAGAGTGATGCAGAGTCGGAGATTTGGAAGGCGCTTGTTCACTCCCGACCGGAGCTTGAGGGTGAAGGAGGAAGTGAGGACGATATCGATGTTGATGATTTGGCGTCAGCTATGGGAGATGGAGATGATGGTGATCTTGAAGACCTCGACATGGATGATGTGGAAAGTGGCGATGATGATGAGGGAGAGCTAGGGGAAGAACCAGAAGACAAAGAAGCCGTTGTGGCCGAAGGAAGCGAAGAGTTTGAAGGTTTCGGAGATGAGGATGCGTTTGAGATGGACGTCTCAGATGAAGATGCCTTTCGTGACAGTGATGAGGAAATACCTTCTGATCTGGATAGCGAAGTTCAAGAACTTATCGCTGCAGCTACGGACAAGGGAGGCAAGGGAGGCAGGCTTACGAGGAGGCAAAAGAAGAGGAAGCTCAAGCACTTACCGATATTTGCGTCTGTGGATGATTATGCTGCCTTATTGGCGGATGATGACCCTGATGGTGGCTTGTGATCCATTTTCGGATGTACATGGGAGCGCCATACATGTTGGAATATTTCGATAGATGTTAAAATTTATATACCAGTTCCGTGATCTCGTGGTCCTTGTTACGATATGTGCTCATTAACATCATACACTCTTGCGGAGAAGCAGGAGTTATATATAGCGCCGGCAGCTGGAGACTACCCTAAGGCTAACTGAGACTGACGTTGATCTCCGGAACTATCAAATGGACCGGTGCGATAGTACTGCCCATCCAGCATTAGCCATCCCTAATGACGAATCCATTCATTAATAACAGGGCTCAACGGAGCAGAATAAAATATAAATTAACCCGTAACATAGTTCTTTCGAATAAGATATGTTAATTGGACAGAATCAACGGATTCCTCCCAATGTGATCCCAGGAAATCCCAATTCATGATTTAGGTGCTTAGAAAGTAACTCATCCCTCTTTTCAGAAACGGCCCCACTGCCCTCTTCATCCAATTTATTTTTCCTCAACCGGGCCTCAATGACCACACAGGCTTCAGCCCACGCAGCGCAGGTCCCTGCCAGCCCCTCGAAAAGGCTGTAGGGAGTATCTGGCATGCGAAACTGGAGCTCGCCAGGAGATCTTCGACGGTGGAAAGGTGGAGTCTTCTGCGCATAGAGCAGCAACGACAAGGCTCTCGACAGAAAATAATCTGGCGTGAGGTCCTCCTCTTCTGAAGGGATAATGCCAGTCCTGTCTCTGAATGAGAGATTCGCCTGCGCTATGTTTTCCTGTCCATACTCAAAGCTATCATGTAGCATTAGGAAGGGCCACGCGTTTCCGGCGATGCCATGACACAATCCGCCGCCTTTGAATAGCAGTCCTTGTTCCCAAACTTGCTCACTGCCAAGCCGGATGGCTTTATCCCAATCTGGCTCCCAGAATGACCGTGTTAGGTCGGGGATGCTTCTTGCTTGGGCAAGCAGGATAAGTAGGCCTGGGGAGCCGTGGCAAATTTGTACATAAGGGGAATGACGGGAGGATGAGTGAATTGGAAGTGATGAGGGAAGGTGGCCGCCATTCTCGATGGTAAGCCTGCATAGGCTATTTATAGTTTGTGCGATGATGGGTAGATGGTGGGTGGCTCCATCGTCAAGCTCCTCAAGTTTGCAGGAAAGAAGAATGGCCAAAATACCAGCTAGATCAATGTTAAGTCGTTTTCACCCCAGTAAACTGGAATACTTGCTTACCTGTCCCATGAATTCTGAAGGCAATTTCAAGTCAGCATAGGCCATCCAAGGAAACGTAGGAGATGATGTGGGGGAAATGCTCACGCTCCGATGTAGTATTTACCATGCCATGGCCACATAAGTGGCAGGACACTCTGTTGTCCATATAACTGTTGATATTCGTCTGCACCTAGCCTTCCAGTCTCTAAAATTACATTCACAATTCTTGGGATCATCGTGAACAGTGGGATCAAAACATCCATATTTTCCTCATCGAGGCAGTGTTGGCGAATGTACAAAAGAGCCCACAATAGGCCAACACGTCCGTATAATGCTTCATCGCCGCCTAACATTGTCCCCTGTTTGAGAGATAACTCAGCAGCGTTTTGAAGAATATTCAGGTCACTCGAATCTATCGCTCGCGGTGTAGGTCGAGTAATCGCCGCTAAGATACGGACGAGAGAAGCACCAAGAGTTCCTGAGGCCAAGGGTGAAAGACTCCTTGTCCTCAACTGACTAACCCCTGATACATTAGGGTTAATCCTCGAACTAGCCAATTGAACCAATTCAGATGCCAGAGACGGGATTTCGCCTTCATTTGCTATATAGCTAACCTGCTCCTCTAGCCGGAGAAAGGTGAGAGCAATTCCTATTTGGAATGTTCAACTCCCAGACAAACCTTTGTATAGATGGAAAAAGCAGAACACATACCAAGAGACCCGTTGTAGATGGTGCCAAATGCATTGCTATCATCAGGATGCGGCTCTGGGTCTTCAACCTTGAGAATACCCGTGGCACACTTTACAGCCTCACGCAATTCAGCTCGAACTTGGTGCAGTAACTCGTTCCCCAATTCGATGAGCTGAAGCTCGTTCTTGTAATATTGAGGAGCCATAAAAATAACACCAAACTGTTAAACTACATGTGTTCAATATTGTCAACATTGCCATAAGTTGAACGTTGGTGAGATACTGTCAAACGTATGAGATAGCCGATATACGGATATGTCCTGTACGGAATAGGAAGGCGGTGAAACCAAAATAGGTAATCCTCTGTTCCTCTGTGAGGCAGAATAGTGATGATTCTTGTCTTGGGCCTTTTCTATCAAGCGAACGGAGGATTTCACCCTCCTTATGCTGATACCGCTCATTCTATATACAATCTAGCGCGAAAGGGCAACAACAGACATAATAGGAAAGATATTCCTCAAAAGGAGAACTATCCACAAAAGGTAAATTTTTAAGATGAAAAAAAGCAAATTTTTGAGGTGGAAGCCGCATGCAACCGCAGTACGTTGGAACCAATGATACGGTCCCCGCCACAGGCATAGCTGCCGCACGCTGATGTCTCACCCTCTCACCCGTCTTACAGAAGGTTATAACCATTACAGACTGGCTGAAGAATCTGCCGAGGCTAAATGGGTTAACTGAGGAGTAGATATGATTGGGATGGCGGTCTTGACAGCAGTTTCTTAGATATCAATAAGTGAGGCTAGTTACGCTACTAAATAGGTAGGTGCACGTGACACAGGCAACAGGCATTCCTCCAACACAGTTAGTTAGTGTTGGACGTCTGAAGTGGTTGGTTGTATTGGTAGCCTTATCTCGGGGATGATATATACTGCTGTGCGGTGCGCTAGTCCATAATAGGAAGCCTAGGCTCCAACAGTTTAGTTAGTTAGCAGCCACCTCAAGGCTGACTGTTGGATGAAATATCCAGAAAAGCGCCCTGCAGACCGTAAGGGCAAAGATAAGAATAAAGACATAGATAAGGATGCTGGTAATGCTGTTCTGCTCCATGACAGCATGGAGCAAGCATACTGTGCCAAAGAGATGGCGTATTTCAGTCGAATGAGGTGGAAGAAGAATGTGAAGTGCTTCAACTGCGGCAAGAAAGGTCATTTTGCTAAGGAATGCAAGGAAGCTGGTGAAGATGGAGAATCTAGCGAAGATTCAGCTAAGAAGCCAGCTAAGAGGGCATTCAATCGACCGCGGAAGGCCCCTAGTAAGGGGAAGGCCAAAGCAAAGGCCAAGTCTAGACGAATTACAGATACAATTAATGGATCCCCGATTTCATGGCGTTCACAACGTCAAAGGTCAACTGCGAAATCGACAACAGAGGCTGAATATATCGCTGCCAGCAAGGCTGCATGTGAGCTTGTCTGGTTGAAGGACATGCTGCAAGATGCAGACCTGTTGGAAGGGAAGTCAAAGATCTGCACCAGATTGCAGGTGGACAATAAAGGTGCCATTGATTTCGCAAAGGGGGAGTCCTTGACGAAGAGATCCCGCCATATAGAGATTCGTTATCATATCCTTCGTGAGCTAGTTGAGAAGGGAGAGGTCGAGCTTTCACACGTAGGTTCTACGGTGAATAAAGCAGACGGACTTACGAAGCCCCTGCCAAAGCCGGCTTACGTTGAATTTATAGAGAAAATTGGATTGACGGAGGTCTAATTCATTGCGCTCCAAAAGGGGTGTAATGGGAATACAGGTCAGGGGACTGATTATGTGCTTGTTTTGCAAAGTTACTGTACAGATGCGTAATAGAGCTTTTCCTAATAAGGGAAACTAGCATCTGATTCCTGTATTTAATTTTTATTGCGGATTTGGGGGGGATTCAGCAGTTAATCGTGCCGCGACGCAACCCACACAAGGTGTGGGTGCACCACACCAAAATGATAAAAACACCAAAATGATAAAAATCTTGCAATTTCATTATCTTCATCATCTTCATCAATTAATAACTCACCACAATGTCAAATAAGAATAAAAATATTGAAGACCATATTCAAAAAGTTGTCACTTATCATCAAAAAAACTCAAATTTCAAAATACTATTTTTGTCATAAGAATTTGAGGTTTTTTATCAATGTTTCTGAGTGTGTATCAATGAAAGAAATCTAAATACTGCAAAGATTTCAGTTAACAAGAAATTAAATGAGAGTCAGAAGAATGCAATTAAATGATAAGTTAAACTGCTTGATGAAAAGAATTATTTTCTTATAGTTGAACATATTGAAAATTTCACAAATTTAATACTTAGACATCAACATATAAATTCTACTACCTTTTCTTCAAAAGTCAGCAAGATGTGAACTTATAGATTCATTGAATGTCTATCTGAGTATAAGAGAGTAAAACAGAAGTCAATGAATTTAAAAAGAGTGACAGTTGAAGATATTGAATATATTAATATATGATTTGAATATCTTCAGATTCTATTTAAGTTCATATAATATGCAAATATTCATAAGATAATTCTATATGAATTTTCATCACATATCACTCATTTGCTACAATCTTTGAATAGTCTATAATTTGAGCAATATAAGTATTACTATTCAAAAGCAGTCAACTATATCATATGCGATGATTTTGTTAAGTATGAAAAACAACAGTTCCTATAATATCTTTTAGCTATGCAAAAGCAAATCTTTAAATCTGATACAATAGCTGCAGAATGAGCTCAATATGATATATATTTCTGAAATTCTAATCAAGTTCTTGACTCTTTTAAGCAGTGAATTTCATTATCTTCTTCACTGCAGATTTATGAAGATGAGAATGATTCAGATCACATATCTATCTCTTTCTCTCAGCTATTCTCATCAAAAACAATTTAAAAGCTGAAATATCATATTAATATTATGAAAAACACTATATAAAGTATTAGAAATACTTTTAATTTGAAATCATAAAAGTTAAAATATCATATTAATATTGTAGAAAATATCATACAAAGTATTAAAGATATTTCTGATTTGAAATCACTCATCTTAACACATTATTTGAACAAGATATTCAAAGCAAGTCTAATTCACATAGAATTTAATGAGTAACAGATTATTGAATTAGAGAACTTTCTCAATATCAGTAAACACCAGAGTTAAAACAATCTATCATCAGGTTCAAGTAGGGAGAGTCCTCACTATTAAAGATGCCAATAGAAAAATCAAGTGGTGTAAGAATAATGAAGCTGAAAAAGAGCAGAATAAAGTGATGAAGGCTTGGAGTTGATCCCATGAAAATTGACAATAACTCACTCACACCACAGACAAAAAAGGAATTAAATCAATTTGGAGATGGCATATATACTGAGAATGATGCAGATAATCTTTTTATTATAAATTAGCTACTGGTTGTTGATATAGAGTGCAATAATAAGGATGTGATTCAAGATTTTTATCATTTCAGTGTTTTTATCATTTTGGTGTGGCGCATCCACATGAGGTGTGGGTTGCGCAGCGGCACGATTAGTATTTACTCTGTTATGATAGTATTGTTTGTATTAGTTAGCCTGCTTAATGTGTACTTGTCTGGTTTATAGGGTATTTTAGGCCTATTGTTCAATTGCTTGCTAATTAGCCTCCTGTTTGTTAATGCAACCGGGTCCTTCGGCGTCCTTTTCCTAAATTTCCAGCTGTCTATTTGTTTATTGAAACATCCACTTTTGAAGATGAAATCGGTCTGTATCCTGCTATTGGTCCGTCTCCCCAGCCTTTGCGCTATTTTTGAGCCAACCAAACAGATCATGTGATGGGATTTCAAACATTCAAGCAGAGATTCAATGTGCTTTAACTTACTTTTCCGTCATTCCCACTTATCCTCAATTACTCTATAGGATTTTTGGCACCATGTTTGAGGTCGTGGAGAACGGTCCTTTGGTGGAGGTTGACGTTTCCACTGCGTAGAATGAAGCCGGACTAACAATCCTCCGATACCCGAACTCCGAGCATCTTTCTCCGCATTTTTATCCCCAACCTCAACCAGTCATTCGCTGTCAAACTGCAGCCCTGTGTACGGTTCACCATGATGCCTTTAACTGCCCGATCGCTTTTAAAGAGGGTCTCTGTCCCACGGCTAAGGACTGGCTATGTGACATCAGTCATCCGAGCCACCAATGCCTCGAGGTCGCTTAGCTCTCGCGCATCCGAGCGGGCGGCTCTCCCCACCATCGCCAACTACCCCAGCCGCGTGCGTTCACACTCTCCGGCCAAAGTTGCTCTTTCTCACCCATTTTCAAGATGGAGTTCCTCTTCTTCCACGTCTGCGTTACCAGCATTGAAGAAAACACAACTATATGATCTGCATATTACCCGCAAAGCCAAAATGGGCCCTTTTGCCGGATACTCTATGCCATTGCAGTACGCTGATCTTAGCCATATAGAGAGCCACCACTGGACCAGAACCAAGGCTAGTTTGTTTGATGTGAGCCATATGTATGTCCCAACGAATATTTCCAAATGCTTTTGGGGCTTTGAGGTTCAACGGCACAATGTAGCTTATTTCGCTAACAAATGCGTTTCAGGGTTCAACATCATATTCGCGGGCCTGGTGCTCTAGATCTTCTCATGAAAGTTACACCTTCATCCCTGAACCTGCTCCACGACAACCGATCAACTCTCTCCTGCCTCCTCGATGAAAAAACTGGTGGTATCATCGACGACACTGTTATTACCCGTCTGGGCCCCGAATCATTCTACATTGTAACAAACGCCGGTCGACGCAAAGAAGACCTAGAATTCCTCCAGAAAGAAATTGATGAATTTAGACAGTCACATGACCCTTCTTCCCGCGAATCCGTCATTAACTGGTCTATCCTCGATAGCAGAGCTCTCGTCGCCCTCCAAGGCCCCTCAAGCGCCGCTGTTCTCCAGTCCCTCATTACCCCCGGCGAAGCGTCCATAGACTCCGACCTCAGCACACTTCACTTCGGCCAAAGTCGCTCCTTACATCTCAATTTACCAGATGGCACGCACACACCATCCCGCCTCCTCATTTCTCGCACAGGCTACACCGGGGAGGATGGCTTCGAAATTTCTATCCCCACCGACAATGATCCGCAGCTCCCCATCAAAGTCTCCGAGCTATTCCTCTCCAACCCTGAAGTCCGTCTTGCAGGCCTAGCCGTCCGCGACTCCCTGCGTCTTGAAGCAGGAATGTGTCTGTATGGCCACGACATAACCATCGCACAAACTCCTCCAGCAGCCGCCCTTGGCTGGCTCGTTGGCAAGGACAGACGCGACCCATCGTCCCCTGCTTCTTCCTTTAATGGTGCCGCTGTCATTCTTCCGCAACTCGAGTCGCCGGCTAAAACGCTCAAGGAGCGACGCGTCGGGCTGACTATTGAGGCTGGACCTCCTGCGCGCGAAGGTGCACCAATTGTTGATATCGCTGATGGTACGACGCAGGTTGGGGTGGTTACATCTGGTTTGCCAAGCCCCACGCTGGGAGGAACCAACATTGCGATGGGATATGTGAAGCAAGGGCTTCATAAAAGAGGAACAGAGGTCGGCGTTTTGGTTAGGAAAAAACTGCGCAAAGCTACTGTTACTCCTATGCCTTTTGTGCCGAATAAGTTCTACAAGGGGTGAATTTAGGTTTTGATTTCAGGTTGGGTTGCTTCATTTATTTTGCTTTGTATATTGTCCTTTGAAATCTTTGTATCTTGTTGTGCAAATATGGGTGGCTGTGACCCCGGAATGTTCAACTCAATGGGTGAGAGGATCCAGTTCCGTTCAGGAAACCATCGAATATTTCAGTCCAGGATATCAAGTGATATTCTTGATTTGTGAGATATATTTCCACAAAATGTAGAAACGCCTCTAATAATCCACGATCCTGCTAGTTAATTGATTCGCTTGTTACTGCGCAAAAATATAAGAGTAAATACCATTGAGCTTGAGGAAAAGACGGGGAAAATGGACCCGTTTGCAATTTCTGGCTCAACTTAACCAGAAAACGGAAATTAATAGCAAAAAGAAAAATACCCTCTCCCACCCGCTCGATCTCCGAAAACTGTATTCCTAGGGAGTGATATGATGGGGAAGGATGGAAAATCATTGAGAACCAGAAAATAGAGAGGGGCAAAAATAATAGCTTGACGAGTGATGAAAATTTAAGCAGTGTCAGGATCGAGATTCGTGGATGTTGCAGCGGAAAACGCAGAAGAACATTGCGAAGCTAGAGATGAGGGATTCAGCTAGTCAGGAGCTGCATTAGTGAAATAAATTATTACCTAGAATTGGTTGCAAGCTGGAGCACAAGAGGAGGACAACAGGGCAGATGGTCAGTTAGACACATTATGGATTCAGAGAAAAACCCAAATTGCGTTCAATGGGTAAGCAGACAATAAGAAAATAAAAGAGAAAAGAGGAGAAAAGAAGGTGGTTAATCGCGGACGGGCACTTGGTCATATCGTGGCCAAGGGTTTCCAATGATATTAAAATTCACACAAAATGGAAGAAAGGAGTAAAGAGGGACAAGGAAACAAGCCGGAATGCTGAGTCGAAGAAGTAGAGAAACCGTTAAAAAAAAAAAAAGAAAAAAGAAAAAAAAAGAAAAGAAAAGAAAAGAACAGAGGCAAGAAAACGACAGTAGAATCTAATGACTGTGGAAACCCTTTCGGAGGGGGATAAAATTCGGAACGTTTCTCAAAGTCCCAAGGAGAATATCCGCCAAAGCCAAATGCGCATCTCAGCAGGTATGTTAAAACTCATAACGAGACCAAATTTCAGCAGAGAGCTGCTGATAAATAGAGATTCCCAAGATCCCTATTTTAAAAACAAACGAATTCCACCATCGCGAAAAATATGAAACGGACGACCCACAAGTAAAAGAGGGGCGAAGGAAACCTCAGAGGAAGAAAAGAAATGTCCTCCTTTAATTCCAATTCCATCCAATTAAACATATTCTAGTTCTTACCTCCCTCACAATCCCCCGCGCACCAACTTCAGCAGAGCACCCAGTGTTCAACATTTCCTTAGCGCCCGGAATTCTTGTGAGACCCCTTAATTCCGCCATATTCTGGGTCAAGCGTCCCCTCAATGGACTGGCTATGGTCTCTTCCCATTGCCTCGTGGAATAAATCAAATGGTGTACGTAGTTTGCATACATTGTGGGGGGCCAGGCCGTTTGTTTCTTGCTTCCATTTCCTTTTCTTTCTGTAGGAGGCGTTGAAATTCACACATTCCCGTTATCGTCGCAATCTGAACTGGAGTCTGAAATCTTCAGTGGGTTTGCCCTGGCAATGCAACACTTCCTCCTTGTCTCTTGTGACCTAGTAGCTCGTCCGGTTGCGCGATGCGAGGAATTGGGGGGGAGCTAGTTGGAGCACAGAGGCCAAAAACTTCCTTTCGATGCATTTTTATATGTTTGACATCGTGCTTCCTATCTTGCGATGAGACGGTGGATATTTGGGGGAAGGGAACATTTTCCATCCAAAGAGGATCTGAGGGTTTTTAGCTCATTGGCGACTTTACCATGGTCTTCTTCTATTGTATTGTGCAGTGTGCTGGTGGAGCGGACCCCAGGAAGGGATCAATATTGTGGAGACGGGGCGCAAGCCTTCGCGCCTTATGAACTGGTCAAATGGGGTTGATTTGGACGTGGGAAAGCTGGGTTGCTTCTATTGTCATATGGATGGGGTGTAAGACATCTCGCAGTTCGGGCTCAGTAGTTGGCATCTGCATTCAGCTTCTCGACATCCGTGGCGCAGTTGACTAAGATGATTCACGTATCTTATCAATCTCTCATATGCCTCCCGACGAGAAGCCTTTTCATACACTTTTTTTTTTTTGGTTATCTTTGTTCTCCTCCTGAGGATCCGCAGGCTTCCGCGAGGACTTGGACGCAATCGCTTTTGGATGGGTCCAGCTTCAAAGGTTCCGTTTGGGGGAACTAGTTATTCCCCGGACAATTTCATAGAGTTTTACGTTAAAACGAATAGCGAAGACGATGGTACCACATCGATGTCCTGTGAGTGTGAGATTTTCGGTTTGTTTCTCTTTGCTTCTTGACCCCTTCGAATTGGCGTAGTGGTGTTCCTCCCAATGATCTTTGCCTCTTTCCGCCCTGTTGGTTAACTAACTTGGCATCCTTCATTCACATCTTCGATCTCTTCATGTGGCTCAGAGACAGCCGATACTGACGGGGCAACACCTTTTTTCTTGTCCGTCTTAACCGCGCTGCATACAGCACTCGAATGGAAGAAGCCTGTTGAACAAATAGCGTCGTTCTTGCGCACGATAAAACCCGATGTCGGCCCATGCTAAAGCACGTCATTCTTGAAAAGTTGACTGCAGCGTTCTTTGTTCCTCTTATATAAACTCTGCCATCCCCCTTCAAAACGTATTCCAAGAAACTCTGCACAAGCTAGTTACCAGCGGTTTGCCCCAATTGTCGCCCCTTCATTTTCTCTCTCGGTGCATTCAACTACGTAACTACCCCACCTCCCCTAACTACCCCGCTCCGCTTCAAACGCCGGTCCGGAAGTACACCATCACAACAGCTTTTAAAAAAGGAGACAATTGGCACAAAGCATTGTCAGTTACTCTTCCTCGAATTCCGCTTCTAGAAATACAGGACCCTCTATTCCACCAAAAATGGCCACGTACACATCCCTAACCCCGCCCTCCTTCACCCCCCTCCCCATCACATCCAATCTAACTTCTCACCAAAAGCAACATAACCTACCACCCACCACACCTTACCCGCGCAGAGCGCACCGCCCTCCGCAAACAAAAAGGCCTCACAATCTGGCTAACAGGCCTCTCCGCGTCTGGCAAATCAACCATAGCCGTCGAGCTCGAGTACCAACTCCTTACCCAATACGGCCTCGCCGCCTACAGACTAGACGGCGATAATATCCGCTTCGGCCTGAACAAGGACCTAGGTTTCAGCGAAACAGACCGCAACGAGAACATCCGTCGGATCGCAGAGGTCGCCAAATTGTTCGCGGACAGCAATACCATCGCCATCACCTCCTTCATCTCGCCGTATCGCAAGGACCGCGAGACGGCACGTCAGCTGCATGCGGCTCCGGTACATGGACAGCCCCAGGACTCTGGATTACCATTTATTGAAGTCTATGTGGATGTCCCTGTAGAGGTAGCGGAGCAGAGAGATCCAAAGGGGTTGTATAAGAAGGCGAGGGAAGGGGCTGTGAAGGAGTTTACCGGGATTAGTGCCCCGTATGAGGCACCGAAGAAGCCGGAGATTCATATTCGGAGTCATGAAGTGGGGGTTAAGGAGTCCGTTGCGCTGATTATTGGGTATTTGAAGAAGAAGGGGTATTTGCCGGAGGGGGAGAAGAGTTGAGGGATAGAATAGCTTTCTGATATTTACTGGACTGTTTCGCCTGTTCGATTTGGTTTGGATTTCTGGAAGGGTAAACTTAGGTATGAGGGGCATGGTGCACAATTTTTTTTTAAGGGGATTAAAACGGGATCAACGGTCTATGTAAGGATATACCCATTTTACAGAAGGATCGTGAATGGTATGCACTCTCATGGATATATTGGAAGAGCATTTATGAAAGTCGATCGCATCACAAAGTCGATGCTATCTGAGACTTAGAAAAACACGCAACAATCCAACTATCAGAATTCTTCATGGGGACGATAGATTAGCATACGACACCCTGAACAGAATGAGTAGGAAAAGTCATGATATGGAGTGTATGTAGGATCAGATAGCAAATGCCAGCAAATGTGAGTATCGTCTAAAAATGAGTTCAGTACTACGATCGGTTCCAAATATATAAAATAACCATCGAAAGCAAACACAGCGGTAGGTTCAGGAATAATAATAACATGCTCCCAAAAAAAAAAGAAAAAGGAAAAAAGAAAAGAAAAAGAAAAAAGAAAAAAACTACTGTATGAGGTCTCCAATACGTTAGGAGGGAGATGAAAGAAGAAAACCCACAGGACGGAATATAGAGAACCTTACCAGCCTGGAAAATCCAGTGCGAAATGGAAGAAAACGGGAATTTAAAAGAAGAAAAAGCAAGATCCAGATATTCATCATGTATCTTCCTTCTTCCTAATGTAGCTATGCCGTTAATCCAGAATTTCAAGAAAAAGAGACAAGAAAAATATATCATGCCACCAACCCTATCTATGGCTTTGGCTCATTCGAACTCAATTTCGTAATATACAAAGGCAGTAAACTCTGCTGCTCCACCCTCGCCTGTGCCGCTGACATGATGCATATCCATAGGATCATCTTTTCGAACACGGCCCTTCTTGTCGCGCGAGAAAGCGTTACCCGCGAGATACGAGTATGAGTCGTCGAGAAGACTCTTGACTTTTTTCGCTTGTTTGTTTGTAGTCTGTTTTCCATTTGTAAGCAGATAGGGAATCGTTATTTCTTCTTCCTTCCTTTCTTTCTTTCTTTTCCCCTTCTTCTTGCATGATAAAATGATAAATTGGGAAACACAGTAGTTCGGAGAGGGAGAGTTGAATAAAAATAAAAAAAATATAAAAAATATAAAAATATAAAAAGGGATGCTCCAATAATTATTGCGTACCTTTATCAATGCACAGACAAAGTCCAGCGGTAGACCATATCTCAGCACCGTCTCGACAAACACTCTTAACGCAAGCACATGAATCCAAACCATCACCGCCTCACTCCACCCAGTCCTCGCAAGCCGCAAAGTCTCCCCCCAAAGCCTCTTAGCATCCGCACTGGCCTGATCCAAATCCCTCCGCTCCTCCTCATCCCCGCCCTCAACATATTTGTAATCTCTGGGCGTCCACTTGTGCTCGCGGCACTTATGGATGAATTCTGCACTGTGTTTTTTAAACGTCGTCACGGCATAGAGGGTGGATTCGTCATCTGAGGCGACAAAGGTTGAGGAGCGCGGGACGACCATGGGCGAGATGGTTTCGTACGTTCGCAAGAATTCCTTTGTGCTTCGTGACGGCACTGCGATGAGATGGGTCTCGAGGTATTCGGAGTCGCGGACGAGGAGACGTGGATCAACGATGGATGCGAGGGATTTGGTGGTTAATGTACCTCTGGTGAGTTGGGGTGGTTAGAATATCGTTTAGAACCAAGTTTGCAGCAATAAACTGTCAGTGGCTGTATAGCATACGTTTGTTTCCGCTGTAGTGCAGCCAGCGTAGTTTTGCCCTGGTTGTACTGTGAAAACTTTCCACGAACGTCATTGTCGATGCTTGCAGCCTCCTACATAAACCAAGAGTAAATCAGTCCGTTAGCAAAATCCAACGGACCCAAAAGGATGCTAAATCTTCCATTCCATACCTTATGCAGCAGATCGATCAATTCCGACAGCGATCTATCCGCCCGAAATTTGACCTTATTCCATTGGAAAGTCCGTAGATACTGCTCCACGGGTTCTATACCAGAAAAGAACTCAGTCGTACATCCCCAACCCTCCATAGAAAATAAACATAACAGGATATTTGGGAATAAGAAATCAATTCCACCATACTATCATTAGCCATCTTCATCTTCGATATCTGCTCCTCATCCCCCTCCAGCACACTATTCAACGCATCCGACACCTTGCCAACCACACCTTGGCACAGAGTTTCCAACCTTGCCAGCTCATCTGCCTGCTGCACCAGCGCATCTAACGTCCCGATCTTGAACTCTGGAATCGCAAAGGGAATCGCCACGCCATTATCAGGGGTGATGGTCTTACTTATGGCGTCGAGGGCATCATCGCGGTGGTGAGATGGGACGATGGAACTGGGGAGGGAGAGGAGGATGTATCTGGGCTCCTTGGACATTATCCAGATATAATATATATATAATCCCGTTGAATGGAATCCAGAGCTGCGGCCTTGGTGCTTATGAGGCGGGGATTGGGTATAAAATACAAGTGGTAGGTGGTGTGTTATTGTGGTTGGTGAAGTATAGTTGCTGTACGGAGTATATATAGTTGGGTCTTGGTTGATGGGTCTGTCCAATCTTGTAATTATCTAACGTTGCGAGCTGTTTGTTAATGACGGACCAATCACGCTGTGCAGAAGTCACGGTGCAACAAACCTCCAAAGTCTCAACTCCTGAATTCCTAAACCGGCCCAGGGTCTATATAAATAAGTGAATTACAGTGGAATGTTAATACTATTACAGAATTAAGATAATTTTTGACCATAATTCGCTTTGATATAACATATATTCTGCTTTGAAAATTTACAGTGAAGTATGTACCGTAACTACTCCCATAACACGTGAACAGAAAATAACATAAAACACCGGCATGGAAGTTGAAAGAACATGCTCGCCATATTATTAGAAATCCCACAGAAAGTAAATGAGGTCTATGCTTGCATCCAACCCAGCACAAATGAGACGCAAGTTTAAAAACTGGGGGGGGGAAGGTAACTCTAGCAAAGGCTGGTCTAAGAATTGCTGATGGCACTCAGCTTTTCGGAAATGTAATATGATCAATCCGAGGGCAAAAAAAAATGCGTGAAAAAAGCAAATCTCAAAACAATAAACCAACATGTCTTTCTGCTATAATGGCGGAAACACCTGAAAAATGAAAATGTCTTCTCGTGTATTACCGAGAGCTGGAAGAGCGGACGATGTGTCTTATGTGGATCTATAAAGGCGCGGAAGAGACTGCAATGTGGTGTCAGCTAAAACCATACAACAAAGCGGGGGTGGAAAAAGTAGAAGGCATGGAAGAGAGCCAGACGTTGGCAGAAAGGAAAGGGACACAAAAAACACATACAGAAACATTTCTCGGCTCAACAAACAATGCCTTCGCCTCAGCCACAACGACAGGCTCTCTCCCCTCTTCGGGAAGTGTCTCGATTCTCCCCTCAACCCATGCCTTCCGCCCCTCAGCCTTCACCGTCTCTGCACGCACAACAAAGAAAGATCCTGCGGGCGCAGGACTCCGGTAGTCAATGTTCAGATTGGCCGTGACGCCAATACCATTGGGTAAAGCGGGGAAACAGCATCTGGCCAGAGCCTCATCGAGAACCGTAGCGAGTAAACCCCCATGAACAAGGCCAGGATGGCCCGAAACATCAGATCCCAGATACAGCATGGAAACAAGGCTCTTCCCGCCAGCCTCAGTCCACATATATGGTGGCACAGCAATTTTGTTGGTACCCGACAGAGTGCCGGCGGTGAGATTGTGGGCGCGCAATTCGTCTGGGATTTTCAAGTGGGGCCTCGATTCTGAGAAACGGGGGTCTGCGCGGAGAGAGCTTGCTAGCGGGTGCGTGTTGATGAACTCATCGATTTCTCCCGCAACATCGTCAGGGGGCAGATAGGGCTTTTCTTCATCGGCACGGATTTTGCCGGCGATCTGCACCAGGTTGGCCACCCCTGGGCTCATGGTGATCCCTATCACGCAGGAGAATATGGCTATGGCGGAGAAACCGACGAGACGGCGGAAGATTGAGGATTTCTTGAACGAGGGAGGATATGGAGGTGAGGCAGAAGAATTAGCTGTTTGGGCTATAGGTGCGCAGTGTGAGTGATCAATACTTCGTATAAATTTTTTAAGGGGATGTGATGGGAAAGTTGAAAGGTGAAAGGTAAAAAAGGTAACATAACATACCAGAGTTGGTTCTATACGAGAGGTGTAGAGGCTGGGATATAATCAACGAGCGTAACGAGGAAGTCCGAGAAGCAAGTGAGGCAGGGAACAATAAGCGACGTCTCGAAAGAATAGGGAGAATATGATTATTGCCCGAAAAAACAGCAGGAAAACGGGCCCGGATCATCCTGAACTACATATAATATAATTAGGCAACCCAATACAACGCTAGAGATAATTTTGGTAGCCTCACAGAGCAGAAATAAATTCCTGCTGTGGCAGCCGGGGAGCGACGGCCAAGAAGACAAAATTTAACAGTTGTATGTCCCTGTCTGCTGTCCCACTATCCACTATTTTCACTGCGGAGGCGGCGGCGATGTACTCGTATCTCGCAAATTCAAGCTCTGGTTCTCCGGCGGCGATCAACAAATTCAAGGAATCGCCGATTCTTGCTTAGTGAGCGTATGTTTTTTGCCGAGGTCCAGAAACTCCACCCAAGCAAGATCGGACTTGGAGGAAATTTCGGAGGAACGGTGGTCAACGTAATAATTAATGCTGAGCAGAGAGAGATGCAGCACGCACTGCGGGGAGGGATTTGATGGAGATGGAGCAACTAGTTCACTGGTTTAAATGACCAACCTTATGATGTTGAGTTTGTTGTTGTTATTAGTTCGTCCTATTCATTTCTACAACTGGACAAAGAAGCGGTAATTAGAGTAAAGGGGACATTTCTATCGAGAGGTAACTTCGAGCGCAATCGGACAACCAACAGTGATGAAAGCGAGAATGCTGCCTTGAGTATTAAACGACACAAGCGGAGATCCCACTCCCTGGGAGTTGGATCCAACTGTTGCGTATGTTCAGATGAGCGGCGGGGTACGCCAGTCCGCTATTATCACTAGTTACTCTGAAATCGTGCCGCTGCACAACCCACACCTTGTATGGGTGCACCACACCAAAATGATAAAAACACCAAAATGATAAAAATCTTGCAATTTCATCATCTTCATCATCTTCATCAATTAATAACTCACCACAATGTCAAATAAGGATAAAAATATCAAAGACCATATCCAAAAAGCTGTCACTTATCATCAAAAAAACTCAAATTCCAAAATACAGTCTCTGTCATGAGAATTTAAGGTTTCTTATTAATATCTCTAAGTGTATATCAATGGAAAAAATCTGAATACTGCAAAAATTCCAGTCAATAAAAGATTAAATGAGAGTTAGAAGAATGTGATTAAACAATGAGTCAAGCTGCTTGATGAAAAGAATTATTCTCTCATAGCTGAACATATTAAAGATTTCACAAATTCAATACTCAGATATTAATACATAGATTCTATTATCTCTTCTTCAAAAGTTAGTAAGATGTGAACTTATAGATTTATTGAATGTTTATCTGAGTATAAAAAAGTGAAACAGAAGTCAATGAATTTAAAAAAAGTGACAGTTAAAAATATTGAATATATCAATATATGATTTAAATATCTCTGAATTTTATTTGAATTCATATAATATGCAGAACTTTATAAGATAATTCTATATAAATTTTCATTACATGTTACTCATTTGCTATAATCTCTAAATAGTCTGTCATTTCAGCAATATAAGCATTATTATTCAAAAGCAGTCAACTATATTGCATGTTATGATTTTATTAAATATAAAAAACAGCAGTTTCTACAAAATCTCTCAACTATGCAAAAGCAGATTTTTAAATCTAATATAATAGCTACAGAATGAGCTTAATGTGATATATATTCATGAAATTCTGATCAAGTTCTTGACTTTTTTAAGCAGTGAATCTCATTACCTTCCTTACTGCAGATTTATAAAGATGAGAATGATTCAAATCACATATCTATTTCTTCCTCTTAGCTATTCTCATCAAAGACAATTTAAAAACTGAAACATTATATTAATATTGTGAAAATCATCATACAAAGTATTAGAGATACTCTTGATTTGAAATCACTCATTTTGACATGTTGTTTGAACAAGATATTCAAAACAAGTCTAATTTATATAGAACTTAATGAGCAATAGATTACTGAATTAAAGAACTTTCTCAATATCAGTAAATGCTGCAGAGCTAAAACAATATATTATCAGATTCAAGTAGAGAGAGTCCTCACTATTAAAGATGCCAATAGAAAATCAAGTGATGTAAGAATAATGAAGTTGAAAAAGAGCAGAATAAAAGTAATATATACTTGAAGTTGATCTTATGAAAATTAATAATATCTCACTCACATCACTGACAAAAGAGAAATTAAATCAATTTAGAGATGGTACACATACTGAGAATGATGTAGATAATCTTTTTATTATAGATTAGCTACTGGTTGTTGATATAGAGTGCAATAATGAGGATGTGATTCAAGATTTTTATTATTTTAGTGTTTTTATCATTTTGGTGTGTGGTGCACCCACATGAGGTGTAGGTTGCGCAGCGGCACGATTAAGTTCTAAGTAAACAAAGGCGCGCAACAGTGGTATACTCTTCTTCTCCCTTCAAAAATCCTGTAGAAGGAAAAAAGGCAGATACACCCCTAATATATAATAAAGCGCAGAGTTGCCAGGATACAAAATTGCAAAAAGAATAAATATAACGGCGAAGAAAAGAAACGAGGAACGTGGGACTCGAACCCACAATCTTAGCTTAGCTTGGTCCCCGGACCACCTGTCTAGGTTTTCCATTGTCCAATGGTAGGAGAGCTACGCATTACCCTTCTGCCAGTCCCTCGGGTTTGGGAGTGCACCCATTGAGCCACCGGCCCTGGGCTTGTGCTAGGTTTTTCCTCCGCCGCAGAATAAAAGTGTCAGACGGAACTTTAGTGCCCCCCCCACCCCGCCCAAAGCGTTGCACTGTCACAAAGCAACTGGTCCATAAAATAGGGGGAATATATAAGGATAATAATATATCATTCTTTTCTATTTTGATGCGCCGTCTTTACTTGTGTAGTATGTACAATATGTTCATTGGTCATTCACTGATGTTTAACAATGCCCAATATCCAAACTTTGTCAAAATGAGAATAGAATACAAACAAGGACAAGGCCAGGGACAAAGCAAGTACGGGAATATATACATCTGCAAATGAATCCAAAATGTGTATCTAACAAGGAATAATTGGTAAGCACATAAAACGGCAAGAATAAAAATTGAAGAGGATGATGATATATACCCTACGTATATACATGAATATAGATATTGAACCCCATCTAAAAGCAGGGGGTGGGTATGTATATATAAAAGTTAGCGACTGGTCGCGGAGCCTAGCCCCATTCATATCCCGGGAAACCAAAAAAGAGAGATTTAGCGAGTAAGGCTGATGACCTTCTTTGCAGCCTCTTCGAAGGAGTCAAATGCGTGCAAGGGAAGTCCGCTATCCGCGATCTGTTTTTTGTAAAAGGAAACCACAATCAGTAATAAGCATATATTATCATGACAAGAAGGGGGGAAAAAAAGAGAAAGGAAAATATTCGTAAACATGTATTCTCCAGAAACTTAGAATAAAAACTACATACCATCTTCTGTCCAATTTCTTCATTCGTACCACGCAGACGCACTACGACAGGTACTTTCATATCCAAGTCACGAAACGCCATAATGATACCGTTAGCGATCATGTCGCAGAGCGTCAGGCCGCCAAAAATGTTGACAAAGATTGTTTTGACACGAGGATCGGAGAGGATGATGCGAAAAGATGACTTCACGGTCTCCGACGTGGCTTTCCCGCCTGTGTCGAGGAAGTTGGCACAATGGCCGCCGTGGTGACTCAGAGCATCGACGGTATTCATCGCAAGGCCGGCGCCGTTAACTATGGAAAGGGTAGATGGATGAGAAATTTGCTTTTACTTTTACTTCTAGATGATCCATATTCCCAAGATATAAAAAAGAGAGGGAAGGTGGCTAGCCTTACCGAGAGTACCGATGCTTCCTTCTCCGTCAAGTCTTTTACACTGTTAACATATATCTCCCAATTAAAATAGCCTAGGGGAGAGAAGAGAAGAGACATACTTGATATAGACAATCCCATATTTCTCAGCTTCAACTTCTTCAGGAACCTCTTCAGCTTCGTTCCGGAGTCGATGGATATCCTCCTGTCTCTTTGAACTTTTGTACGCGGCATCATCAAAACCAAACCGAGCTCCGCTGACCTGGAAGCTTCCATCACTTGCCACGGTGATTTTTGTTTCCAGCACAAAGGCTTCCTTGCTCATGAATATATCAAGCAGATTCTGTGCTAGTTTTGCAAGAGGCGTCAGAGCAAACTCCCCTAGACCAATATGGCTAGCAACTGCCCTGGTATTAGCCCCGTCAGCCGAAAATTGCGTCTTCCCATACGTAAACGGGAATACCCTAGCTTGCGAGAGCTGAGTGGCTGGGTCAGTGGTGGGAGAGGCAATGATACATGGCGAGTGCGATTTTCGGTCTATCGAAAGTCCAAAGAAAAAATCTCCGGGTTCATTTGATTCGTCAATTGCGAGCCCCTTTTCCTTTAATAGGTTGAATGACTGGGATTGCTTCAGGTAAAGGTTTCGGCGTTGTGTTTTAAGAGGTTCTCGTTGTTGAACGCTTATTCGGCGTAGGGTATGGAATCCCCTTTGGCCTCCTGCGACGGCCGAAGCTGTCTATTTTTTGCTGTCAGCAATATTATCCATATATACGTTAACCGTTGGAGAATGATGAATCACCTTAAGGACGGGCCTTCCGCCCATATTGCTCAACAGCATCTTCATTCCTTCTCCAAAGTCCTCTGGATGATGTACCATGACAGCGCCGGCGTTTTGCAGCGCTTTGATCTTTGTCTGGGCATCGGGCTCTCCGGGCCCAACCCAAGCTCCAGCATGACCCATGACTCGCCCGAGAGGCGCATGAATCCCACAAATCACTGCCATTATAGGTCTGCCTATCCATTAGCGATCGTAAGAAGCTTCCTAGGAGGTGGTGACGTTGCATACTTTGGGTTTGCAGAACGCCTACGATAGTGGGCAATCCACTCCGCAGCGGCAATCTCAGCAGTTCCTCCAATCTCACCGACGATTATTATCCCATGAGTGTCATCATCATGTTCGAAAATGCTCAGTGCATCCACGAAGTCTGTGCCAGCCAGAACATCTCCTCCCATACCAATGCAAAGGCTCTGACCTAACCCGGCTCGTGATGTTGAGGCGACGGTCTCGTAACCAAGAGTTCCGGACTTGGCGACAATTCCTATATGGCCGGGAGAGAAGCAGGGGAGCGGCTGAAATCCTATACGGCATTTCCCAATCGCGGAAATAATACCGGGACAGTTGGCACCAACCAAACGGGATTTCGATTGGGTTTTAAGCATTGCATGAACCTAGTTGTGCTCATTAGCTACAAATAGAATAGTCGAGGGCACGGTTACGGGGAAATCCTCACTCGAACAATATCATGAATTGGAACATGCTCCGCAACCGCCACGATAAGAGGAATCTCTGCTTCGATAGCCTCTTCAATGGCCTGTGCTGTTTGTGGGCCGGGGACGTAAATTGCTGTTGCATCTGGTCTGGATATTTGTTGTGCCTAAGTTTTGAGGTAGGCTTCACGTCAGCATTCCGTGGAACTAGTGTTACTTTTATACTTTGGTTTTCGTTTCTTGACAAATAAGTAGCACATACCACTTTTACTGATGGAAAAACTGGTAGTCCTAGGTGTTCACCCTCCACGCCTGGCTTTACACCGCCTATAATCTTGGTACCCCATGCCAACGACTCTTTCACGTTCGCCGTTGCCTTCAGGAAGGTTTAGCCGTTGCTAACTTTAAAGACTTTGCATTGAGAGGACATATTACCTGTTTGCCTGTTACATAAATCTTAGCTTATGAGATAAATAGTATGGCTATACCAAAGTCTAATAAATGCAGATAATTGTCCAGGATATCGCTCAACGCGACGGACATATTCAGCATACCTGTAAATCCCTGGAAAAGAACCCGAGTATGAGCACCAATTTTTAGATTAGGAAGAGTATCTGCGTAACTCAGAGTCAGCGAAGACGTCGAAAATCTAGAATGAAGGCATGGGCCGACTCGAGCAACAGTTCGTGGTTGGAGACGACGAGATGCCAATGAGGGAGGAGGCATGGAGTTGAGCGGCATGGCTGCTGAGCCGAGGTCTGCTTCTCAGAGGTTTCTGCAGCTATCTCAGAAACATCAAAATTTGGAGATTTTGGGAATTGTGGGAGAGAGATAAAATAAACAAACACGGTAGGATTCTTATCCCTGAAACTCCAGAAAGTATGTATAAGGAATGTTTTATCAACAGGCACCAGAGAATATACAATCTTGAGTGGAAAATAAACCGAAAAGAATTAGAGAAGACAAACTGGCGGATGAGGGCATATAAATTATCAGCCACGTATATGCTTCTAGGGGAGATTTCTCCACACAGGATGCCCTGAAGGGTAAGCGTATATCAGAGCTGCATCTCTCTCGTAGTAAGTGCAAGGGTATATCTTAGCTAAGACTGGAAGCACCACATTTTCGAGGTGAGCTCGCACAATGTCCGCAGGGGGAGGGGAACAAGGTTCGTCAGATAGCCGAAGAAATGCTCGGGAATGATGGCCACGCGTCAGAGGTGTAATCCCGAGGTCGCTGCATTTGAACAATTGAATCTTTTTCTCTCGAAACAAATATAGAGTGCCATGTGTCTTTTTAGGGTGAAGAAATATTGATTCGGGGTGTCAATTTAAAAGCCCATGCTCAGCATCTTTGCCGATGCTAAGGAAGATCTAACGCACATAAGAGGCAGCTCCCTCGGTAGATTGCCGAACACTTCTCCACGGATGGTTTTGATTGCAGCACATAGGCAGCGGTTCTACTGGAACTTAGCCGAAGCCAGTTTTGCTTGCTCGGACTGACGAATTACCACCTCTCAGAGGCAGAGCGGAACAACGGGAACTCACAACTTGACACGATGAAACCCATGTATGGCCTAGTTGTTTGTTCCCGTTGGCGATTTGCTGGTAAAGCCAATTTTATATCTCCCACTAATAGCAGAGTTCACCCTTCCGTCTCCGCCCTCTCTTTTACTTTGTTTAGTTGACTAACTAGTTAGTTAATTAATTAGTCAACTTAGTTACCTCTTAACATCAAAATCACCAACTAGATTTTAGTTCGAATTATCTCAACGCAACAACCACCAATTCAATAACATCAAATTACAATAGGATTAGGGCAGCTTGTCCTTTTATGGCCTGCAATATCACAGTTTGCTCGCCTTGGTGGAGCTCATGGGCATGGTGTGGGAACAAGCTGTGACATATTAGAATTCCGAGCTTCTTGCCTGATTAACTCCCCCTTCAGATTACAGCCTGTAGCACTTTTGCATTATTGCTTCTCTTTCTCATTTGCAGCGAACATAATCTGATATTGCTTGTCTCATATCTACAAACCTTGATAGTGTGATCAACGCCTTTTATCAAGTCTTATAGAGAACTCTCAAGGCCTTGTCGTATCAGATTCTTGATCTTATTCAGCCTGCCTATGCAACTGATGAAAGTTGCTAGATTGATTTCTCAAGATGGAAAATTCGCAGCTGAATAATCTGATTTGATCCAAATAAGACGACTTTAGTAGTTATAAAGCTGCCCCAAACGTTCTAGGTATATGTTAGTCTCAGCGCCCGATTAGGCCTAACCCTCATCACGTGACCACGCAGGTTTGTTATAATCCGGGCAGACCCTTTTATTCCATCAAGCTTAGTATTTTGTTATATAGCAGTAGGCAACACACAGAGAGTTCCTTCTTATGCAGCTTGCATACACTCTCTAACAGGTATTGAAAACTTTTATATACACTGAAATTAGCTTTTATGAAGTTGGTTTTCTAGATAGAATTGAATTCAAACTGTATTTACTATTTAATTATATCTTTATATGTATTTTAAAATTACAATGACATTTATATTCAAAGACTATAAGATATGATAAATATATCAAAATATGTAAAGAAATAATTTTAAAATAAAATAACTGATATATTTATTCAAAATAAAGAGCAAATGATATCAATTTTACAAAAGTTAATAGTTAATAAAATTAGTATATATTTTATCTAAGCTCAATTTCATCTTCAATTTAAATCATTAAACAACTAATATTTCATTCTCACTTCTATCAATAGATCTTTAAATTGCTTTAACAAAATTACTTTTTAAAAATAATATATAAAAATAGTTCTTATCTGAAATAATAAATATTTTAATTTTAATTTTATTTATAATTTTTATATTGTAGAAACTTTACTTAGCTATGATATTTAATACTAATAATAATCATGATGATTAGTTATATAAAAGCCTCATTATAAATTCAATCTACTAAAAGTTACATAGATAGTTTAAGATTAAATTTTATGCTTAATAATTATATTTCTAGATCTTAAATTTTTTTTACAATTTTAAGATATTTGAACTTAAGACTGTTCATGATTATAGTAGCTTAAAAAATGACATAAAAGCTTTGAATGATATGTTCCTAGATTTGACACTCAGCTCTTATTGATAAAGGAGAAATATATAAAATTCTAAAGTAAAAAGATAGTTAATTATATTCTCAATAAATATTAATTAAAAAGGGAGTTTTCATGTAGCTAAATTAAAAACTCACTGGACTAGCGGATTCTCTTCGTATTCGCTTAATTTACAGCAAATTAATCATTAAGTTGATAGAAAAAAAAAATTTAAAGACTGATATCTTATAGATACGATCTCATACACTAAAGAGATTTCTTAATTTTTAAAAGCATTTATTGCAAGCTCAAGTCACCCCTCTCTCTCTAGAGAATCTGATGAAGTCTTACTGTGAATCGAAGGGTAGGAACTATCATGTTGTTGAAAATGTTAAATCAATCAAAATGATAATTTAGCACACTTGATGGTTACGTCCAACTGCGGCGCCCCAAACCAGGTTTTTAGCCGTTGCCCCGCACGTGATCAGGCGGATGCAGATTAGCTAGCTCCTCCCGCATCCATCCAAGGGAAGGAGGCTAGATTGCGACCTTGGTTGCCAAGAAGGGCTGAGAGAAGCGAATGGCGTCTTCTTGCACCAAAGCTTATATAATATGACGATGGAAGAAGGCAACAACAAAAACTAGTTGACTAAACTTCAACGTGTAACTAATGGTTAGTTAGTTACCTGTCAGGCTGTATGTACATCGTACCTGCGCACGGTCTGTGAATACCTTTGATGGACTCCGGTCGGTTGACGCAGGATATGGCTGGCCATTCTAAAGGTATGTGGTTGTATTTCAGTTAGGAGATTAACTGCCCACCTTTTTTTGAGCTCGTTTTTAACTGCAGAGTGAAAAGAGCCCTTATTCTCCGCCCTGAAGAATCTCTCCATAAACACCAACACACAACAACCTTCCGCCATCGCGAAAAAGAAACAAGCAAATAAATCCTCCCCAGTCGCAGAATCATGGGAAGATGCGTACGTCTCCTCCTCTGAAAATGAAGAAGGCATCACCCCGCCCGCATCCGCAACCCTGAAATCCCCCCTGACCGCCGTATCTACCAACACGTCAACCGGCAGCAGCACACTCTCCACCAACTTAACACCAGGCATCTGTGCCCCACCACCAACACCCATATCTCCTCAAAGCGGGTCTCTTCCCCGCTGGACTCCCGACCTTGCCTCCCTCCCTCCTATCCCGGACCGCGCCGTTGCCACATCGCCTCCTACCGCGACACATCTCAACCAGGACAAGAGGCCCGAAAAACAGACTTCAGTCGCGAGCCGCATGATTGCAGGCGCTCTGGGGATTAGGGCTCCGAAACGCACGGAGGAACAGAAAGCGTATGATCGTGCGATGAGGGAGAAAGAGGCGAAGCGGAGGGAGAAGGAGCGGGAGGCGGAGAATGTAAGGCGGAGGGAAGAGAAGAAGGCAAAAATGGCGATTTGGGAGGAGTAAATAGATTGGTTTTTTTTTTTTTTTTTTTTTTTGTGTGTGTGTGTGTGTGTGTGTGTCTCTCTGGTTTTCCTTTCGGGTTCTGGGGTGTTTCCTTCCACTTTATTTATGTTGGATTCTTTATAAAGCCTTCATGAAGGGTTTCTTTTCTTTCTCATATGTTCCCTCTCCTCGGATTCTCCATGATTTAATATCACCATCACTACTGGTATAGTTATGGCTAATTATTATGACCAAAGTCGGGCTTGATTCCTGTACATATCTTATCTCTATAATGTCACCAAGGAAAAATGCGTCGTTCGCGCTCTATTTTTGATCATTTATCCTTTTATCTCTATCCACTGAACGTATCGGTATCAGACACAGCTATTGATGAATAAAAACCCCCACAATCCCCACGACTCCATGAAAAAGTTTGCCACCTTGATGTGGAAGATGTCATGTCACATTCTTCTTCGCAGCTCATCGCTAATTACAGCCAAGAGTCCTCACCCATACATTTCACTACCTCTGAAGATATGAGGCGCCTGTGTCCTTGGGAACCGCCTCGTGAACCACCAGTTATGTCACGCGTCCAACCCGTCTTCCCTTATTGTTTAGTGCTGTACCAATCTGAATAAACAAGGTGTTTATTTCCACTAAACCCGAAGCCCCCTGGACGCAATGTGGTATAGGTATCAAATGAAAATGCATTAGAGTCAATGCAGAGGCGGTGCAAAGACGCGAGGCCGGATTTGGACAACAAGAGAACAATCGCCAAGATCAAAAGAACAGGTTGGGAGCAAGACACGCATCTATATCCTTTTCAATCCATGAGATTTTAAGCTAAGTGTAACTGACAACAAATGAAAAGAACAAAAGAAATCGGGAAGATCGAGCGAAACCGACTAGCCAAGAAATATAACACCTTCACAGAAAAGCTTAGGAAGAGAGCCGCGGGGGGGAGGATCTGGAAATTAACAATAACAGAATAAACACAAGCAGAACGCGACTGACTTTTGGCACCTGTAAGAAACATATCTCGCATTTATGATATTTGCCACCCCCCCGGGGGTTAATTTGGACGTTTCGAATCGCATATGGCCCGTCTGAATCAGACGCGGCATACAAAAAAGGCTGTGCAATGTAGGGATGGGGGGGAAAAAAACAAACAAACAAACAAACACAGGCACATGGCACTGGCACTGGCACAATATGATATGACAAGTCGAATTTAAGAAAATAGCCGATCCCGCAGGAGGGCATGAGAAGCTACCGCGCTCTACAATCGGGCTTGGGATTAAGAAGAAGGTATATCGTAAGAAACAGATGAGAAACTATCGCGAAGACAGGGGTTATCAGCCAGTGACTTTGGATCTTTTATTTCCTGATTTGATTGACTCAAATCGGGGATTCTATTAACCCAACTCACCTCGTTGAATCAATTAAAAGGAAGGAAATAGCCCCGTATCAGCCTCCAATCTGCTCCTGATGAACTTCCAGCGTATCGCCATCTGCCATATCGAGCTGCAATAAACAACTAATTAGTCTCTTGTAGCTGCGCCAAACGCGGCGTGCAAATCTGCCGGCAGCGCGACAGCCATAGGCAAAGAGATCTGTGGGGAGAGACACTTACAGTATCAGGCGTATCATCTTGTCTGACCCTTGTTCCATCAAATAGAAAGCGTACTTGCGTCATGTCCTTGCCCTGACGCTGGCAGAAGGCCTCCATAAGTTTCTTGAGTTGCGTGGAGCGCTTAATCTTAAAGAACACTTCGTTGTTATTATCAGTAACTTTTATGTTGAGATGTTCACTGGGAGGTTGCGCGGCTGATGTATTCTCCTGTGGTGTTGTGTCCATTATGAGATATGGAGTAATTGAGTAAAAGAGATGGCTTTGGTGCGAGCCGTTTGGATGGGAGTGTAGGGTTAGTATATGGAGTCCGCAAGCAGTAAGGATTATCTTAAGCCGTACAAAGGATAGCAATAGAAAACACGGGACTTACTATGGGCTTCTCTCAAGTGTTGTTTGTTTAATGGTGTTGTTGAGTGAGGTGCAGTTCAAGGATTGGAATGAAGGGAGTTTGATCGAATGGATGTTGAGTTTGTCCTTGGGTTGATATAAATGCGCAGCGTCAGTGAATGGAATGCACCCCAAACGGCAGCCTGGAAAATCTATTTTGCCGCTCGGAGTTTGGCTGGCGCGCAGAACTAGAACTGCGATTAGGTAACACCAACAAATGGACCCAAACTCCCGTTTGATATCAATCTGTCGCCAACGCAGAAACCAACTCCGATCAAATAGGATGCCTATTGGGGACCACAAACGAATGGAGGTGATTTTCAAAATATGGTAAGAGTAAGACTGTTTTGCCTTTGTAGGATGCCCGATCTTTTCCAGAAACTGATGAGAACTTATTGGATAGGGGTTGAAAGAAGATATTGCATATGATCCGCCTTGTCACCTAAGAGCAGTATGTAACTGTCCAATTGTATAAGTTTCCATTGCTTGGTCTGCTATTTTGCTAACTAATGCTGTCACCAGTGTGCTATACAAGGTATATATATATATATATAAAGAAGAAGAAAAAAGACATATTCCCCCACGGAAAAACTAGCTTTGGCTCCCAAGATTGACGGATATCTTTTTTTTGTGTCAACAGGGTGCCTTTCCAAGAACTCATATAAGGAAGAGAAATGCCAAAACCAGATAGACGCCCTCTATCAATGTTGCAAGGCATTCTATGAAGCACGAGGCGAAAACGCACGAACCCCAAGCTGCCCAAAACCCGATCTTCTAAAATTGAAGATGAAGCAACGAGCGGAGGAGAAGCGAGGCAAGTAAGAGAGCAAAGTGAGAGTTTGAAAAGAAGAGGGCTCAGTCGATATTAGATTAGAAAGACCGGTAGCGCATTGGCAATTGAAAGAATAGCAAGACCAATCAATCTTTCATAGTGTAAATAAATCAAAAATAAAGAACTGTAACAATCACTCTTCTAAGTTTTCCTTGCCAATAGAGTTGAATCCAACCAGAATATGTATGGGGATTGTCGAATTCATTCTAAGACGCTCGTGAGCACGCAAGAGGACCTCAAGGGACCTGAACAAACATCGAGTGAACTCCTGACAGGAGTTCGTCTGATCCGAGACTCTAATGAACGCCTATATGACATATGTTGAAGGAAAAGAAAAAAAAATAGTGGAAAATCTGCTGTAGGAAAGCTTTTATGGTCGGCAGAGGTTGGAACTAGTCCTATTCGGGACTAGGCATTTCTTCCCATTGCTTGCATCGTGAAGCTAGTTAAACAAAAAGACATGTTACCTAATTACATCGTCCCTTGTTTATCACTGCTCCTTACTCTCTACCAGAACACAACACAGCATCTACCACGTACATGCGTTCCATATGCCCTTCATCCAGTTGGAACCAGTGCTTATCTAGAGGACCATGGCGCCCATGACATATTCTTCAGGGTTCCCGCTGGGACAGCAAAACCTCCCTCCTGTGAGTTCTGCAGTTCTGACGATTGCGAACTTACAACAACAGCTAACTTACTGTAGATTCATGCTCCACCCAGCCGCCTCCATGATGTAGAAATTATAGAGATTGATGACGATGATGACGACGATGTGGACGAGGAAGACGAAGAGGAAGAGGAAGAAGAAGAGGAGGAGGAGGAGGATTTAGAGGACGAAGAAAACGACGACGAAGGCGAGGATGAAGACGAGGAAGCTGAGGGTGACAACGAGGACGAGGACGATGTTTTGACTGGAACTGACTCCATGGAAGAGAGAAGTTCTGATTTAGAAGAAGTTGAGCAAGGTTTGTTTATGCCATTGCTAAGAAAAACTGTCTGATTCATGTGTTTCTTACTGATTTGCCTCGCATGATTAGATGTTTTGGCTCTTTCATCTGGCCCAGCTTCCCCAGGTCTACTGACACCGGCTGATATACAACAAGTCATAAACCCGCTTCGAAACACAGCAAATCGCGTAGCAAGCCAAATAGAAGCCTTTGCTCAAAGCTTAAACCAGTTTAAAAAACACGACCATGGCCCGGGTGACCCGGGAACGTTTCTCGAAGCCTGTAAATTGGTCCAGAAATACAAAAAAATTGCGGAAACAGCTGCGAAGGAACTGTCGAAAACCAGCACCCTTCGAAAAGTTAAGCAATCAACAAATAATCGAGAATCTGGATGTAGTCAAAGCCCCAATCGTGCGAAATTAGATGAACAGATCAGGCGATGGCAGCTGGAAGCTGAAACTTGGGAGTTAGTGCTTCAAATGATCTCTATCGATGATCCTGATTCACGCCTCCGAACGCAAAAGGCTCAGCAGACCGTCCTGCAGTCGCTGCATCGATATTCTACGGACCAGGAGGTCTGGAATAAATTCCTCGAGGCGGATCATTTTGCATCGGAGAACGTCATTGTACTGAAATGGCTGGAGAAAACTGCAAGGTCGTCACCCCAAGATATTGATGCGCTAATTTCTGAATTAGAAACTCAGGCTGAGAGAGGACAAGGACTCTGGGCCCATGGCTGGCTCTATACAAAGGAGGCAATTAAGGGGGCAAAGCGACTGCGGTCTTGGCCCCAACCATTAGAGCCTAATGACCCGGGGCTTACGATGTCTCTACTGAATGTGGAACAACAGGAACCCTTAGTCACTCAATTAGATCCTGATGCTGTCACCCGACAACAACACGGACTTCAGAAACAAGATCAGTTTTATGAGCAAGCTGCATGGCTCACTTGTTGGAAATTGCTCAGGGAGGGCCAAAGCTGGAAGCACATTCGAGAATGGTCTCATGAACGATTGGAAAACTGGAGGGCAATCAGTGTTTGCGGTATACCTGGCGATTCACCCTCTCAGGACGGAAAAGCTGCAAAATCTGGTCTTACTCGACTGATGAGCTATAGATTTCAAGAGTCATGGAGAAATGCGTGTTTGGCGCTTGCTAATAATACTGCGACTAACGCCTTTGAGAAGGCCGTCTATGCACTTATTTGTGGCGAAACAGAGCCAGCGTACGCTATTTGCCAGGGCTGGGGTGATTACATTTATGTCTACTTTAATCATTTAATCCTTGCGAGATACCGTGAATTTTGCAAGCAATTTCATCGGAAACTGAGCTTCTCTCCGACCACCGATGTGGCTCTATCCATCGAACCCGCAGCGTACGCCAACATCAATATCTTCCTGGATAACGTCAGAAGAAACGAGAGAACCGCCGTTGAAGCCAGGAACCCTTATCGCACTATCCAAGCGGCTATCCTGAGCAAAAACTACAACCACTTCTTTTTCCATCAGGCGAACGCTGTTTCAAAAGCCGCCAGTACCTCGAACAAAGCAACTCTCGTTCCGAAAACTGTAATCACTAATGTTGATGATGCTTGTCTTATTGCTGCTCGGGATGACGATGCCATGCGTATCATCAGCCATTTGTTCCTCATTCTACAATCACTTGGATATGTTCGCACCGACTCCCTTTATGTTCAAACCGCCTGCATTAATATCATTAGCTACATCAATCTCCTGCGCAAAGCTGGCAAGCTCGAACTCATACCACTTTATGCATCGCTTCTCCCTGAAAATGCAGCACATATGGTTCTTGGAAAAGTGCTGATCGACATCGTTGAGCCAAAAGAACGGGAAAAGCAAGTTGCGATAATGAAGCGGTTAAATATCAATCTTGGAGCCATTGTGGAGAGTCAGTGGCAATTGGTCACTGCCCAGGCTGATGCTAAGGAAGATAAAACGACGACTATTCGGTTGAAGAGGAGCGTCATCAATCAAGGAAAAGGCCCAGGGAGAATCGGGCCCATCAAAAAGAATCTCATCGGTCGGCGCGTTTCGCATGAGGACGAGTATTTGATACGTTGTTTGGAATGGCATCGCTACGCAGATGATCAACTGCAAAATATTTGCCCGAGAGGGTCACATCTCTATAAGCGGTTTATGGGTAAGACCCTTCCAGTCATAGGTCCAGTTTCCTGATATTAGGAAGGAAAATATTGCTGACATCCTATTACTAAACAGGTGCTGGACGGCTTGGTGCAGCACGTGAGCTTTATAGGCGTGTCCGCGTTGAGATGGTTCCCGGTGATATTACAGGACTGGATAAATCACCTTACGATATCTTGAATGGTGGGGAGAATGGCATTGACGACCCAGCAAAAGCAAGTCCGACGAAAAGCCCTATGAAATCGGGAATCCAAAGACGGCGTCCATTATCGCGCGGTCAAAGAGCGGATCTCTATCTCCAATCACACACAATGCGCGATCTAGAATATCTCATCGCTGCCTTCGTCAGCTTGGAGACTTGGGCAAACCGGATGGATGAATATGAGCAGTATGTATTTCAATATCCCTCGCCAACTTTCCATGCACCTCTATATGTCTTTATTAACTTGGAGCTACAGTCTATCCGATAAGCAGCAGGCGAAAGAGTTCCGGAAAACGCTACAGGAAACTGTAGATTCAATCACAGAGTGTATCGAACCCCTTTTCGGAGACTGGCTCGGCTACCCGAAAGACGGTAAGAAAATTAAAAAAGAAATCCCCCTTCACAATTTGCTCATCCATTAGTTAGAAACAATATTCCCAACTAATTACTCGGGCTCATTATCTAGACGCGGAAGCAACCGAACTCGAATTCATAAAATCAACCTACCTCCCCGAGGTCATTTTGGCCTATCACAGCGCGATTTTCTTCGCAGGACACACGATTGGGCGCGAAGTGCTCGCTCAGTGCATGACGCTTGCGGCTGTAATAGCCTCGTCTCAAATTATGACAGACAGCTTCTTGGCATCTGGACGCATGTGTGAATTGGTAGATGTGCTGGCGCTATCGAGCGT